GTGTCGTGGTACTGGGATCTGAGTGGAAAACAGACGTTTTTTGTAAATTTGAGATTTGGTTGGATGATCCCTCTTCTAATCTTACTCCCGTACACAAACTCACATCCATGCCTCCCCCCATGCGGGAGCCAAAGTCATTTCTTTCACTAAAGCCGCCGTGGTCTCTCTCCCTCAGAATCTCCTGCACCATCTCCTGGGCTTGCTGAAAAGAAAAAAAACATGGTGGTTACTGTACATGGCAACTCAGCATCGCGTATTTATCTTGAACTTGATGAGATGATTTCATAAATGTACCTGCACTTTGTAGGGATCTCCAATAATGCGCAGGGGCTTGTCGACGTTGGGTCCCTGAGAGGCATCCTGGATCAGGATCATCTTCACCCCTGCACGCTCCTAGAATACCACACAATAACATTACGGTATGTGCTGACATTACCGGAGTTTAGAAATCTCTATTTGTCTGGCTCATGAAAGTTTATAATTGATATTTAACCTATTTTTTTTACATTTCGATTTGAGTTCAACCATCTCACCTTTCTCTGAATAAACACCCATCAAGATGATGCGACAGCGATAGCCATGCAATGTACCTGTAGCTGTTTGATGGTCTCTCCTCCCTTGCCGATGACAAGGCCTGCCTTGCCAGCTGGGATCATCATCTCATGCACCGTGCCGTTCTGCCCGTTGGTGGACTCGTGATAAGAAGAAGGGGGTGTGCCCCTCCCTCGTGACACTATCTCATCCAACAGCATCTTGGCTTTCCTAGCCGGGGAAGAGCTGACCAGTTACTCCACATTCATTGTACAAAAACATGTCATCAAGCAGTAGGTTATTATAAAACCTCCAGCCTTTGCCTCTGCAAAATTTTGTGAAGTACGTGAAGCAATCTACTTCATAAGTGACCATTTCTGATGCTTCCATCTAAAAAGACAATGAGCTGATTTGCATAAAGTCTGAAACTTACTGTATAGAGTCAAGGGAACCTGTGAGAGAGACACTCCTCTCTGGAAGGCCTCCGCTGTCTGGACACACACACAGAGTACAAATGTAACTAAGTTCAAAACCCCAAGAGGAAGAAATTTGTAAACTGTGGATAACTATAACTGTACCTGGAGCTATCTGAACCTTGCAACCTGACTCCTGTTGAATCTTATTGATCTGTTCACCTCCACGACCAATAACTGGGGACAAAGACAGAGAGCAAAACTGTGTGTCGTTGGCAGGTCACACTCGCAATAGTGGCATCTACTTGTGTCTTATATGGCAGAAGGTGTGGCATCAACATGTGCTAAATCCGAGTTGGGCTGCACTCACTGAGTCCCACCATGCTGTCTGGTACACTGTACTCCTCTGTGGTGGAGGCGGGCCTGACACCATCAGCAAGCGCGGGTGACAAAGAGGGAAAAAGAGGCAATAAATCACACAATAGTAGACTCTAATTGGATTTGTGCTACAATCTCATACATATACAAAGAGCCCATTACTTCTACATAATACACAATCAACTAGAAGATATGAGATCTCACCTTTGTTGTGCAAGAGCAGCTAGCTGTGCACCAATAGCTGAGATGGGACATCCACAAAAAGAAAGAGAGAGTGATAAAAGAGAGCAAGGGAGAGGTTTAGGATTACTGATGGACTATGAGACACAGAAAGAGGAAGGGAAAGTGTTGGACAGACAAGGGCAACTTCTGAAACAGGAATATTGTACAACAGGAAACTGTATTAAATACTGTTAGCTGTGAGGGATTAACGTCACAAAGCATAAAATAGTTGTAGGAACTCACACAGTGCTTTGGCTGAATCCAAGTCACTCTGTGCAGCCAGCTTCTTGCTCTCAGGTTCATCTAAATGAGGAAATGACACATTATCTGCTGTAACTGGGTGTGTTGGGGAAGTCTGTGAAGAATTAAGTAGATTCTGTATCTAAAGCTATCATCAAGCGTGCAAAACAGGTGATGTACATATGAGGTACAATCCGAGCCAGAGTAGATCAAGGAGCCGCGGTCACCGTACCTGCATCCTCCAGTTGTCGTTTCTGTGCAGTGAATGGAAACCCATCTGACGCTGTGTTGTTGTTCAGGGGAGGTCCAGTATCACCCCCGATCTTGGCTGCGATCTGAAAGACAAGCTCAAAGTTCACCACTACACATTGGACCGAGCGTCTCATAAAGACTGTAAAGTGTTTAGCTAAATTTACTTGACTTGCTCTTATGAACAGTACATTGCAGGATAATACTGTCAATGTAAATGAAGTGTTCAATACATCAAGTTAACATTATGGTCCAATCTCTTCAGTCTATATTCCCTCTTAGTTTATTCTATTTTATTCAGCATATCTCATCAATCTCATGTTTTTGTGAGGTGACTGACGTAACACTGTCTATGCTAGGGCCCGTAAGAAGGTTACATTTGTTAAATAATATTACGTTGATTTATATGCCAGTCTAATCTTTATTTGAAATATTTAGGATACTTTAATGTGTAAATGTTTAACATGATTTGAAGACTGGATTTCAGGCTTGTTTAGGACATATTGTACTTTGTTTAGAACCATAACAATCCTAATCAAAGCAAGAAAACACTTTAGTGATTATTTGGATTAATAAATGGATGATTGATGGCAATCTGTGGCTCCAGTTACAACCTTATATCCATAACAAATGGTCCTTCCGAGGCTTTCACCCCACTGGTGGTCCCAGCAGCCATTACACAGTATTTTAAGTTACTATAACACACTGATAACCTCGCTTTATAAGTTAGTTTCTATGTATTTACTCCCACATTACAACGCCCCGTTCACACTGTGTGTTTGTATTCTAACGTTAGCTAGCAACTGACATGACGTAACTAGCTCAACAGAACCGTTAACAACCGTTAACAACCGTTAACTCGTCAATAAACCGTGAATTCAACATACGAGTCTCCCCGGTGTCCGTTAGCCGTCAGACGGAGTCAGCAGTGACACTTTTTATCTAAACCTTCCCTCCAAACACGCTCCCTGCCCGTCACATCCCCTCACCTGCCGGGCCCGCTGCACCGCGTCCGCGAACGCATCTTTTTTGATGCCTCCTGCTCCGTTCCCGAGAGCCGCCTGTCCGCCGAGAGAGGCCGCGGGCCCGGGCGGCGGCACCGCGTTGTACTCCGACATGTTGAGCTGAAGACGGGGCGAGGAGGGGGGGAAGAGGGGGCAGCAGTCCGGGACCAGAGCTACGTAGGAGTGGGAAGGAAAGTCAAGAAACTGACGGGGGAAGGAAAGCGACGGAGACACTACGGGAGCCGGGAAGGGTCATTCGCGTTTAATATGTAACGTTTATCATAGTTGTTTTTACAGCAACAGGGACAAGTTACAGTTTTGACATACTAGAAACACAGAATAAGCATAAATAAGACATAAATAAATAATATAATAAAATGTACAGTTATACACACACATATATCACGTTATATATATATATTGGTAGTGTAGTATAAAATTTAGTGTAGATTAGTGCATATTATAAGTTAGTAATCAATTAATCACACAATAATCCCACAAAAGTTTTCTTATGCACTATGGTTTGTTCACACAGATAACTGGAAATCAAGTAGAGAGCACTGTGTTTTAAGTAATGATGATTTTGAGTGTTAAGTAGAATAGATTTATATAAGCTCACAAGGATGTTAATGAAGCCATTATGTTTTAAGTTAATATGATTTCATGATAAGCACAAATACAAATACTGTTGATGAAGTAGTAAGCACCATGGTTATTTAGTAAAAGTTTGATTTAATGTGTGGAACATATAGAATGTGTGGTTGTAACACAAGTTTTATTATATTAGAAATGAGCACTGATTATACCAAATGTATGTGTGTGGTTGTAACACAAGTTTTCTTATCATATTATAAAGTTTATAAAGTTTTTAAAAAATACAGTAAAAGACCTCTGTGACATAATCGTGTAAGGAAAAGGTAATAAATGGTTTTTAAAAAATAGAAGTACAGTAAACTAGATTCTAATGGTGTAATCCTGATGAAAGGAGAGTAAAAAAGAAAATGTCATGGCCTACTGGTGTAGGCCATGAAGCCTGTGGGTTCTGTGATAAGAACATAGGCCTGACGGGCCAGGCAAGTAAGACACCAGTAGGATGGAGCGTGGGCAAAACAAAGGCAGGATAATTGGACTGATAAGACAACCACTAGGATGGCGCATGGGCAAAACAAGGGCAAAATATTTGGGACCCACGTACTGGTGAAGATTTAGGGTCTTTCCAGAGTAGAATTTACACCATTATGTCATGGTTGGAAAAGGTAGAAGGTGGGCAGGACATGTGACAGAGGGCAAAAGTATATAAGGAGAAGCTTTGTGAGGATGAATTCAGTCTTTCCATGGATGGCTCGGGCTTTGTTTGTAATAGATAATAAAGCTCTATTCTACTGCCAACTTTGATGAATCCTGGTTGTTATTTTTCCACCTGAAGGAGAATAACTTTTAGACCTAAATTGGACTTAGAAAATTGTATGTTGGACACAATCTTCTGATCAAAAAGAGAACTCATTCTGACCAAGACCCAACAGTAGACAGTAAACAATAGTGCAGAGTGCAAAGGATGCTGAAATAAATATTTACGTGCATGTAGACTTTATGTAACTGCATAAGGTAGGTGGATATGACAGTATATACAGTATGCACAGCATGGGTACATGTGTTTGAATTATTTTATTTATGTTTTTTTTTTTAAAAACCCACTATACAACTTTTAATTTAATTCGTAAAACCTTTATTATATTTATGAAAACCAACAAATGTCAAAATTCTCTCCATTCACCATAGATTAAATTCATCAAAGTTATATACAGCACTGTTTTGTGGCTAAAAAATTCATTGCAGAATTACAGGTATCTCCATTTTGGCAGTCTACAGTAAGTGACTCTCCAACATTATTCATGAGAATAATGAGAGATCATCTTCCTAGAACTCCATAATTGGTGGAATAACCCAGAACCTCAGGTATCTCTTGATTCGTATTAGATATTTATTGAAGATGACAGGTTATGTCATAGTATAAGCCAGAACAGCATTGCCATTATTATTTTTCACATCCTCTACGATTAAATGATTCTATACAGATATAACATGTTATTATAGTTAGGTTAATATAAAAGCATGACTATGTATTTTCATTTCTTGTTGGACACTATTTTACAGTATTTTCAGTATTCTTTTCAGGTCAGTGATGTAAAAACATGAACAAACACTTTTTATTTGCTGATCTCAGTGAGAAGTAACCCAGCACTGCTACTACCGTTTCCACTCCAAAGGTTTTAGGACATGCTACAGTAAACAGACAAAATTATAATCCTTGCATTTACATGATTAAATAACATTCAGTGATTAAATGTAGATCTTAGATAGATAGAATAAAAGGTCTTTATGCTGGTTAAAATATCAGGAAGTTCAGCCATCAGAAACCAGTATCACTAGATATACTGTAGATCCATATTAGCATTCAGCTGTGTTTGGATTGGAAAGCAGTGCTTCCCTGTAGTATATTTTGTCATTGTCAGAGTGTACTTTGTTTCCAACCTGCTTGAGTGCTACATCTGTTTTGCTTATAAAGAGTGCCTGCGTTGGGTCTCTGTGGAGGCCCTGGCACAGAGAACAGTATCTAACTTCATTGTGCTTTTCTCTGGCAAAAAACAACTTGTTTGATGACCGTCATCTGTCAGAGTGCTGCCGTCCCACTTCTCCACATGACTGGCCGAGGCGCTCGTGCTGCCAACCCCGGAGGTTACATCAGAGTTTCCATATTTAAGGCTCAGCCATTCGGACACCTTGGCGCGTGCTCTTTGATAACAAAATGTTCCAACTACTGAGGGAACATCTCCGCCCACTGAAAACAGAAGTTGAATTGTGTAAGTCAAAACAGCAATGACCACTGGTACCTGTATTGATTAAGTTATTCTCACTTAATGGGATTATATTAAACTCACTGCTTGGAATGAAGGCTCCATCCAAGCTAGCGGCCATCTTCACAGGTGGCACAGTTGGTTCCTCGGGTTCTTGTGCTAAAGCTTTCAACATCCGGTCTATCAGCTCCTGCTGCCTACTGTTCCACTGCTCCTCTGTCAGCACTCGCTGCATTCCTTGCTGCACCACTTTCTGGTTGTTGTCTTCAGTGGTGAAGCAGAGGCCATTGTTTTGTGTTATCATGTCAGTAACTTTCCGGAACATCTCTATGACTGGATAACTGTCATGAAAACGATTGCACGTGAGAACGTGGTATCTGTTTCGACACTTTTCCACGAGCCATTTCAGGTCTTGGCCTTCCGTGGCGATGTACTCCTCGATGGACCTGTTATTGAGCCAGTCTTTCCAGGTGAACAGCACCATGCAGTGTCTCCAGACGCTCTCACCAAATGGCCTCAAGAGGTCAACCACTGCTTTGCGGTCTTTCTCTGTAAAGGCTTTAGAAATGGGAACAACCAAGAGAAAAACATGGGGCCCCGGAGCACACATGGAGACACTGCGGAGAACTTCACTTCTGAGCCAGTCGGATGTCATCGTCTCGGTCAACCAGCCTGGCGCCTCAACGGCTGAGATATTTACTCCAGCAACATTTCTTTGATGTTTTACACAGGTCGAGGTTAATCTCTGACCTTGGAATTCCTACACAGAAGTAAACAAACAAAATCCAAACAATTATAGCAATCACACCAGGTTGAATATTTCAGTTTAGGCAGCGTATTGTGTTACCTTCTTCATCCAAGCTGTTTCAAATAGCTCTTCAAAGAGGATCCTGTTTCCAAGCATACTCTTCCCTGACTCTTTTCTCCCCAGAAGTACGACCCTCATGTCTTTGCTTTTATGCCTCTCCCCTGGAAAGGAGTTTTTCATCATATAAAAGGTAAATTACCAAATTAATCATAAACAATATGAGAATGTATTATTTGATTACCTCTGAACAACTCTCTTAATATTCTTTCTTGTCTTTGAGTCATCTGTCTGATCCTTATAGCCATCTTGTCTGTGACCTCTTTCCTTGCTTCCAACTGTTGTGCACGGCCCAGGTCAACTTCATAATAAGGATCTTTGTTTCCCGCCCACATCTCTTCAACCTTCTCGAGGAGCTCCGTTACCTGCGTCTCATCGCCGTGGTTCGTGTTGTCCAGGACATGATACATGTTCCCACACTTGTCCATGAGCCACTGCAGACCTTCCTCACTCTCTATGCGCTCTTCCACAGTCTTCACTCCCAGCCAGTCACCTCTGGTGAACAGAACGATCGTGTGCTTCCAGACTTCATCCTTGAACAAACTCATGTGCTCCTGGACTGCTCTCTGGTATGATGCGTTGAATGCGGATGCCAGGCCGACCACCAGGAGCACTGCATGGGGTCCCGGAGGGCACTGATGCATGCTGTTCTCTATTTCAAGTTTATCCATCTCACAGGTGTCCTGAAGGCTTTGATTGTAGAACCAGCCAGGGGAATCTACCACTGTGAGCTGCCTGTCTGCCACCATGCTGTGGCCTATTTCACAGTACTCTGTTGCTCTTGTGTGACGAAAAGTAAATGCTTCTTTTTTCAGGATTGTGTTGCCTGCCGAGCTCTTGGCCGACCATTGTGCCCCAACCATCACTATTCTTAAATGAGTTGGGGGTGTTATGCCACCTATACAGAATGCATAAATTATCTCCCCAAACAAATCAACAACACACACACTGAAAATGTGAGACAATCGTCTAATCAAAATGTCAGAGCATAGAATAAATAAGGTGTTTATGTGCGGTAAATCACACAGTTCTCACAAAGAACTTCACTCACTAATTAATGTGAAGGGTTAATATGCTGCTGTATCTCTACAGGAATAACTCAGCTGGAATAGTTCCATTTTTTGGAAATGTTCAATTTTAATGTGTTTTACTTTGCTAACTTTGTTTCTAACGGCTGGAAAAGAAGGCAAGGTGAATTATTTCATTAGTATTTGTTTTAATTTCTCCAGCAGTACATAAGTATAAGTATAATAAGTGTTTTTTGTTGTAGAAAATGTAGGTCTGAAGATAAGCTGTTTAAGTTGGTTCTAGAGCTAGTCGACAAGTCACAGAGGCTGATATCAACCTATTGGTTTATAACAAGAAACAATAGGGTTTTAGGATATTTAGAAACAGTTCCACTATTTCCTAATTTGTCCCGAGAGCACTAAGTGTAAATTGTTTAGAGCAATATAAAATATAAATGAATGGTGTCTTAAAGCCCACATGCATGGTTGTATGCATGACACAATAATGAAAACTGAGCTAAAATGTTTTTAAAAGTAATATGTGACTCACCTTCAATCAATGCTCTGAGTTTCTTTCTCTTTGTCTGCACTTCAGCAACCCTCTTTGATGCCCTTTCAACCAGCGCTTCCATCTCCTCTCTCAGAGCATTCCCATCAGCACTATCAACAGAATAGTGACTACCAGCATTTTCTGCAATCATTTCATCTATTTTGTTGAACAGCAGTGTGACTTGAGTGCTATCCTGACTGTCTCTGACATTGAGAACATGTCTGCGGTTTCCACATTGTTTAAGAGCCCACTGCAAGTCTGACCACAAACTGATTTCATATTCCAATTGTTCACGACTGTATGGACTATCTACCGTAAACAGCACAATGGTGTGATGAAACACTGCTTCATGGAAGAGTTTCAAGTGCTCCTTTAATGATACTTTGAAGATCTTAGGAAACATAATACCAATAGGAATGACTAGTAGAAAGGCTTGAGGCCCCGGGGGACACAGATGGACACTGTTCCTGATCTCCATCTGATCCAGCACTGGGGTGTTTCCCAGTGGGTAGTGCCACCACCAGCCTGGAGTATCAACCACAGCGACTTGTCTGCCATGGACCTCCTTCTGCTTCACAACACTCTGGGCAGTTCTTCTGTTGGTGTCAAAAACACTTTCACCCAGTATGATGTTGCCAGTTGCACTCTTATTACTGGAATTGCCATTTAGTTCTCTCCCACCTATTAACACAATCCTCAACCCTGGAGAGTGGTGACTTTGTCCTGTAAGAGAGATACAATATTCCTTACATAAATATATAAAACAATAAAAGTGTCCCTTCTGCAGAATCAACCGATGAATTGATCTTCATATCTGAATGGCAGGAGTGGCTCAGTAATCACTTTCAAGTCTGTATCCCTGTATAGTTTTAGTAAGGTGTACCTAATAATGTGAGTGTATGACACAAAACAATGTCACTGTAACAGTATACAAAGGACATCTTTAGCCGGGAAAAGCTGCTTTGATTAACTACTAAATGTCAGCTGGAAGTCTCACAAACCAGTGACTTGATCTTCTACAGACATACAGCAAAATAAATACTGTTAGATCAAGGAGAAATAGAAGAAATAGAAAATGTATTCCTGTAAATTTCAATTCAGATGTTTAACTAACTAAAAGCCTAAGTAGGTATAGAGACAACCAATTAGCTTCAGTTATAGGTGCTAATTGCATTACTTTAACAAAATAAATGACATAAATACTTTATTCTAGTCACTGTGGTGTCCTGCCTAAGCAATTACACAAGATGCAGGAGGGGCATTATTGGCTAAAGTGTATGAGGAGTCAACTTACCAGAGGTGGAAACAGCATGTAGATTATCCATTGTTTCTATATACACTATTGAGACTTCTGCCTCCAGTTGGTAACCATATTAGTGATAAGAAAGATAAGTATTAAATGGCCAAATCAACAGCAGTCTGTAGCAATATCAGATACACAGTTTGTGAATACCGAACTAGGTCTGGAACAAAAGTTGTAAAAACAGGAAGCGCAACTTTTACAGCACATGTGACCATGTTACATAACTCGGAGGTATTCCCTAACGTAACTGAGAAACATACAGGATATGTTGTTGCAGTATTGTGTATATGGTGTGGCCTGTTACTTTGGACTTACCTCTAAAAAGGGTTTTCTAAAACATGATGATTTTTAAAAGGTGATGCTTTGAGAAAAAAAAAACCCAAACAAATCTACTGCCCCACTCAAGGTTGACTGGGCTCCTCAACTGAGTTCTCTTTTGAGTAATACAAACAGTTATTGGCACTGTTGACACTTACACACTTCTCAGGTGAAACAATGAGCAAACACATTTTCAGAGAAGCAACCCAGAGTTACTGTGCGTTCATGTATAGACAGAATCATACATACATACATACATACATTTTTTGTTTCATCTGACCATAAAACAGAAGACCAAAAGTCTTCTTTGTCCAGATAAGCATTTACAAAAGGCCAAGCAGGCTTTTGTGTGCCTTTTCTGGAGAAATGGCATCCTCCTTGGTCTGCGTCCGTGGAACCCAGCAGTGTGCAGTGTCCGTTGGACTGTCGGCCTTGAGACGTTGCCACCAGCAGAGCCCAGATTCACCAGGATGGCCTTGGTGGTGATCCTTGGATTATTTTTCACCTCTCTCACTATCCTCCTGGCCAGCACAGGTGTCACTTTTGGCTTCCTACCACATCCTCTGAGATTTCCCACAGTGCGGAACATTTTGTATTCTTTAATAATACTTTGCACTGTAACCACTGGAACTTGAAAACATTTAGATATGGCCTTATAGCCCTTTCCTGACTTGTGAGCAGCCACAATACACAGCCGCAGGTCATCAGTGAGCTCCTTTGTCTTAGCCATGACTGTCCACAAACCAACTGCAGAGAGCTGCTGTTTTTCACCTGTTGAGTTGATTAAAACAGCTTTTCCCATTGAATCAGTGTAATTTGGATGCTTAGAAACAGCTTGGAATATTTGGAATGGTATAGAACTTTGGATTTTCCTAAAGACTGTGACAGTTTGTAAAGGGTATGAATAATTTTGGACATGCCACTTTTTGTTCAAATGTAAGTAAAAGCTGAGGAATATATTTTTCCACAATGATGCCTCTTGTACATCATCTTATTATCTTTTGGGAGAAGCCTGTGTCATTTCCGGTCAAAAAAACACAACTTGCTGGTTGAATAAAATAACTTTAATTCAAAATTTGCCAGGGGTATGAATCATTTCGGGCTTGACTGTATCTGTGTGAAAGAACTATCATTACATTTTTTAAATGGTTCTCAAATGTGAGGATCACTGATTTTCTCTGTTCAGTATAAAATGCCTATTTTAGGCTTTAGGTTTTGGACTGTCGGACAAAATAAGACATTTGAGCTCAGGAAAATAGGGGTAGGCACTTTTAATAGATCAAATGATTATTTGATTAATCGAGAAAATAGTGGCCAGATAAATAGACAGTTAAATAATTCTTAGTTGCACCAACAATAAAAACAATCACAACAATTAGTTTTATAGACAGATGCTCACTTTACAAGCAGTTTCATTATACAGAACTTAACATAGATAATATTAATAATAATAATACACCAACTTCAATATTCATATTACTAATCAGCCTATAAACTATAATACTATTGCTACTACTACTACTACTACTAATAATAATAATATTAATAATAATAATAATAATACACCAACTTCAATATTCATATTACTAATCAGCCTATAAACTATAATACTATTGCTACTACTACTACTACTACTAATAATAATAATATTAATAATAATAATAATAATAATACACCAACTTCAATATTCATATTACTAATCAGCCTATAAACTATAATATTATTGCTACTACTACTACTACTACTAATAATAATAATATTAATAATAATAATAATAATAATACACCAACTTAAATATGTATAGTAGTAATAAGCCTATAAACTATAATACTACTACTACTACTACTACTACTACTAATAATAATAATAATAATAATAATAATAATAATAATACACCAACTTAAATATTCATATGACTAATCAGCCTATAAACTATAATATTATTGCTACCACTACTACTACTACTACTACTAATAATAATAATAATACACCAACTTAAATATGTATGGTAGTAATCAGCCTATAAACTATAATATTATTGCGACTATTACTACTACTACTACTACTACTACTACTAATAATAATAATAATAATACTAATAATAATAATAAAAGAAGATCAAATTCATAAAAGTAATAAAGAAATATAAATAATAAATAAGTGCAGCATCAACTATCAAATTCCACAAAACCCAAAAATTCACATTTATAAAAACAAATATTCTTGTAAAGTCCATGTGTTAAATGTATAGTGACAAAGCATTTCATATTTGTGTTGGTAAGAGCACCGTGTTGAATTGGTTGAACTGGTGCAGCCGGTAGAGGTAGCTGTCACTTATTCCTCCCCGGGAAAGGCGACACTTCGACGCCATCTTTGTTATGGGCGTTCCACGTCCGGCGATGACGGAGGCACATTCTCTCTCCTGTGATTGGTTGAATCCGGTCATGCCAAAGGTCACGTATATTTGGCGCTCTTCAGTCTTGACCAGTCTGGCGCGTTTTTGAAAGTCAGTCAGGAAACATGTATTTTGAATCCCTACTCGGAACAGTTTGGAGAACGACCGCGTTATAACTATTTTTTCTCACGTTGTTGTTCACACAGTCGCGGCCGACGTGGAAAATGTTTGCGCCTGTTTGGGGACGCTGCGAGGAGCCGAGCTGCTCGGAGAGTAGCATCTAGCAGACTCTTGCTAGCCTGTTGTTTTTTTTTTTGTTTGTTTGTTTTTACAGTTACATTTTGTATGTGTGGTGGCAACGAACAGCTGTCCACCTCACACGATGAGCTTTGCCTCTGTTGTTCATTCACACATACGGGGAAGTGAATAAGAAAAGGCAAGAAGTGTCCGAGGTCGCAGCAAGTTAACCGGTTCAACTTTAATCGGTGAGTTGTTTTTCCTGGATCTTTGTTATCCTGGTTGAACACAGACTGGAAGAGCAACTGGGCGCCATGTCAGGAATACTATGCCTTCCCATGTTCCCTTACCCTAGAGGAAATTATATTTATATGTGGTATATTAACATTTTATACTGACTTTGTTTCACCAGAACTCATAACTTTATCCATAGTATGGCTCTAATGCTGTTTGACTCTGTTGTTGTACAGGACTTTCTCATGTTTACAGTGTCAACACATATGGTAGCGGCTGATTTTGAGAACAATGTTATTGATGGGTTTCTGCTGCATTGTTGTGGTTTCAACTTTAGTGTTGAAACATTAAATGTTATTGGAAAAAAGTAAGGTTAAAGTGATTATTAGCTGGTTCTGAAAGAGCATTGTGTTACTTATCCTGTCATCCTTGAAGACAATTGTTATGGAGCTTTTACCTTTTACAATAGTAATTAAAAGATGGTGAATGTGATGAAGCTGGAATTGATCCGGTGGTCTATGTGCATAAACATTTTATCTTTTGCTTCAGGTCTCTTCAAACTATGGCTGGTGTTGTTGCTATGGCAGCTGTCATTGAGGACTTTGACACCCAGGTTTCTATGACACTGATTGATGCTATACAAAGCAGGCAGTATTTGTCTTTATTCATTCTTATGTGTTCTCATGTTTGATTAACTTCGTCTCTCCTTTTACAGCCATGCAAGAAATCTCGCAAAGATGGTGGCAGTCCCGTTGTCAAGACAATCACAAACTATTTCTCTCCCGTGTCCAAACCTGCGGAGAAACCCTTTTCTCCTCCTCGCTCCAACAACATCATGGACTACTTTAGCCGGAAGGCACCGTCCTCTAAAGAAAAGACCAGCTCACCGGAGCAGTCGAAAGAGAACTGTCAGACGTCTCAGCTTGAAGAAAAACACACCAGCCCAGAGGCAGCAGTGAAACAGCCATCTCAAAAACGGGGTAGGAAGGCCAGCAAAGCCGCGAGGAAACTTGTGGAAGCTGATGCTGTTAGCTCCACAGCAGAGGAGAGCTGCCTCATTGTAGAGGAACCACATGATAGCAGAGACTCGGCAGCAGACGCAGTCAGCAGCTGTGTTGTTCTTGGCAGTGATACAGCAGCCCTATTGGCCCGGGTTAGTGCTGAGGCTTGTGTCAATGCGGGAGAATCAGAGAGGAATATCACTGAGACGATGATTAAGAAAGATGACCATCATGAAGATGTTTCCAAATCTAGGAACAATATCAAACTCAAACCAGAACTCTACTGTATTGAATTATCTCCAATTGTACCTTCAAAGGATAAAGCAAAACAGGTCAAAACTGTTGCACGAAATGCTAGAAAGAAGCGGCTGCTGGAGGCAAAACATTCAGAACCAGAGGAGAAAGAAATGGAGAGCTGCTTGTGTGACGTTAGTATGGAGGTCAATGTGGATGAGGCCTCTCAGTTAAACAGCAGCACAGTCACAGTCTCCTTTGAGGAATTTGTGCGGAGTCAGAGCCAGGACAGGGGTGAAGAGGACAAAGAAGATGAAAGTGGAATCACAACGGAGGCAGCCGAAGGAATGGACACTGATCAGTTGAACATCCCTAAAGCTGAAGAAATTGTAGGTTCTGGGGAGCCACCTCTTCAAATCTCACCCCGAACTGTCACCATCCAGGCTGAAGTGCACGTCTCACCCAAACAGGAAGCCAAGGCGGTGGGAAAGGTGGCTTCTATCTTCAACAGGAGAAAAGGTGCGATGAGCCCTGCAGAGGTAGTATCGCCTCCTCACATAGAGGCTGGACACCAACTTCCTTCTAGCTCTCTGACGGTCAAGCGTAAATCCAATGTGGTTCTTCAAGAGGAAGATCTAGAGCTGGCTGTGCTCGAGAGTGATTCCATGCCCAAGTGCAGTGTGACGGAGAGGAAGCAGTTCATGGCTGCCTTCAAGCAGCCCAGTCTGGATGGGTCCAAAACCAAGCCTGGTAAGAGTCAGGGCAAGCAGAAGCAAACTGAAGAGAAGGTTTTGGATGAGGCAGACAAAGTTGCTGAAGAGGACACTGTAACTCCACCCGCTGTTGAGGAAGTTCCTGCGGCCTCTGAGGAAAACAAAGTAGCTAAAAAGAAACCAGGAAGAAAAGGCAGAAAGAAAGCTAAAGTAGAAAATGAGGCGGTCCCCACCCCACCAGCTGCTGCTCCTGTGGAAGAATCAGTTGAGGTTGATGATAAAAGAGAGGAGCCTCCCATAACCTCAACCCCCTCCATCCCTGCAGTGAGGAGGTCCAGAAGAGAGGCTGTAGTCCGGCAAGCCTCCGAGGACACCCCAACAACTCGTAACAGAAAAACCAGTAAACATGAGGCAAAGGATGCTGCTGCTGATGCTGCTGCTGATGCTGCTGCTGCTGCTGCTGCTGATGCTGATGCTGATGATTTACCTACTGATGACCCTGCAAAGATGTCCACCCCGAAGATATCCAAGTCCAGACACGGAGTCTTCATAGCAGAGATGGTGTGCCCTCCTGACACAAAACAAAGTCCAATCAGGTGACGCATGCATATAAAGGATGTTATACTATTGCACTTTGTATGGAAAACAAATGGAAGCATTTATACACTCAGTCGGGTTATTAGGTGTACCTATCAGTCTAATATAAAAACAGCCTTTATGAAGGTTATAATGTTGAACAGTGCTTATCTTATTTCGCCTACCCTCACTGATATAACTGGAGTGTTTCCTGTCAGTAAACCACACAGTTTTAATTCAAAAGCACCACAAACTACGTTCTCCAAAATTATTATTGCAAGACGGTTATATTAGACTGCATAAGAGTTTAACTAGGTGTACCTAATAAACTGGAAACTGACTGTATGTATGTGTTAAGGTTCTTCCTAATGTCGTCTTTGTTTTTTCTTTTTAATTAGGATTAAATTTACAAGAGTCCATAAAAATGTCTCCAAGAACAAGGCTGAAAGTGGAAGTGACGTAAACAATCCTTTGGCTACTAAAGTAAGTATGATATTTATTACAAATTCAATTTGATAAGCTGGGTTACTGATTTAACAAAAAGCATACCGAAACATCATAATTATGGGCAGAAGATAATAAATACTCTATATCTTTTTCAGACATCAAATGAGTCTAAAAAAAGGAAGCAGGCAAAGAAGTTGTTGGAGAAAGCTAAAGTAATTCAACAGAGTAAAAAGGCTGCTGTCGCGGAGAAGGGCACCTTAAGGCGTTCCTCACGAGCCGAGGCCTCCACCAAGAAGAGCTATTGTGAAGATGAGGTACAGGTAATAGTAATATCATTTATTATAATAAAGGCTCACCTCCACAATACATCACAAAAAATGAATGGCAAATTAAAACCTAATTTCTGTAATTCACTATTTTGTGGTTTGTTTTGTCAGGATTCTGTCATCTGCCTGGAGGAGGACCAGACAGCCCCAGAAAAGAGTAAAAGCCAGAAGTCTTTACGCAGTTTAAATGATGTTCTGGGAAAAGCAGCACCTGTTGGCAAAGAGACCAAGGCTGTCTCAGGTAGTCTGTCCCACCAATCACCATTTACTGTGAAGCATTTTGTTGAAATCTCCTCTAAAAGGTGCTGTATTGTCTTTCTCACAGGCTCCAAAGTGGCCTCGCTGGGCCAAGAGAAGACTGCTCGAAAGGCGTCAACGGTGATTTCCATCTTTGATGAGAGCAGCAATGACGGCTCTGAAAACTCCCAGGATGATGAGCAGTTCAAGGCTCGAAGAGAGTTCTTGAAGAGCGGTCTGCCCGAGTCCTTTAGGAAACAGATAGCCAAAACAGCTGCCACCAAGGAGGCATACTCCCTCTCCTGTTCCTCCTTTCAACCAGTTACACACACAAAGCAACCACCAAACGGTAAGCTGCTCCTTCATTGAAATACAGAGGAAACTTTACAAGCTACACAGCAGTTCATAAAAAAATGAGCCATTGTGCATAATGAGTAACTTTTACTTTTGCTAATAGTTTTGTACTTTGATTTATTAGGGTCAGTTAAATAATTTTGCTTTTTAGTATTATGGAGGAGTGGTAGCTAAAGATAAATGAAGAGGAACCCAGTAAGAGAACCCCGTAAAACTTGTTTTTGTTGTGCTCTGACAGATTGCCCTCTTTGGAGTCTACTGTGGCCTGAGTCACCATTACTGTGTCACCTGAATGAGATTTGGTGCCGGACCTCCAGCCCACTTCCATCTGTCAGTGGCTCCCTTTGTGTGAAGACAGAACCAGCCCGTAGAACCTTTTGTAAATCGGTATGTTCAAATGACTGTAATGACTTTTATTCTCTTAGTATGGGATGTCACAGTACCAGAAATATAGTAGTCAATACCAATACCAGTGGAATTCCACGATTATTGATACCATGACAAATATGTCCCAATCAAGTTTTTTTGCCCCTTATCCCCATGTAATATTGAGTATCTGCTGATAACGAGTCCTGATCCAATAATTAGTTTATAAACAGATACATCGTCTTCTTGAGGATTTAGTTACATGTTTAGCAGAATTATTATATTTCAGAAGACATTGTTCGAGCTTATAGCTGCTAGTCTGCCAGGATAGCTCTGTTGTATTTTTAAAGGCTTTTAAAGAGAAACTCCACATAAATGTTTGTGTCTGTCCAATTTGACTCAATATTTAATAGTATTTTTCCTTTCTGAAGGGTTCTGGCTGGAGGCCCGAGATCTCTGAAAATATCCGTCAGCTTCTAATGGAGGAGATCAGCACCACCAACCCTTCATTCCCTGTTCAGATGTTCATCACTCGCTTCCATAAGAGACGCACTGATCACCAGCAGCAGTGCACAGCCTCAGGTCAGTCTGACTGCACCGAAAGGGTAGATCTGTTGTATAGAGTCAATCATTTGGGACTACCTTACGTCATGAAAGTTTTATTTAAAAATATTTAAAAAATGTGTTGTGTGGCCCTACTCAGAGGAGGGCCGCCTACCTCCCCAGCCTCTGCTTTTAGGGAGTCTGTGAAACCGCTGCACTTATTCAGAGTTGATTCTATTTTTTGCTTACCCTCTGCTTAGTATTTTGGCACAACGGTTCAGACTCCTGCTTTTGATTGCTGTACAAGCACCACCGGACTTATTCACACACACTGACACACACACATATATATACCTGATAGTTAGCCTCTCTGAGCTGTTATTTAGCTATAACACAGCTGATAGCTTAGCTGTAACGCAGAAACTTTAACAAAGGGTTGTGAGTGTGCTTCTAGTGACTGTAAAAGCTCTAGTGGACTCAGCAGTTGCTCACAGCTGATTAGTTCTGTCTACCAGTTCACTGTGGCCAGTTTAAAATAATGTTTATAAACAATTTAAGCCAAAATAGAGACCAAAATAAAGCATAAAACCAAACTAATTCTCAACATCTATTGCATGTTGCGCTTACTAGAACCAGAGGCTGCAACCAGAGTCACAAACGCCATACTGCCAGCAGAACCAGTAGGAGGGAAGAGGAAGAGGATGAGGATGGAAGATGAAGGAGAAATGACAGCAAAGGTGGCAAAGAAGCAACGGGCCAACTGTTCAGAAGAGAAAATTTCTACGCCTGAGCCAACAAAAAGAGGAGGCCGTACAAGACAATCTAAGAGATCAAGGCCGGAGACTCCCATCCCGTCTGAAGATGACTGTGTGATTGTGCAGGATGAGTTGCCTTTGGGAGAGGGCACTGGAACAAAAGGTGAGGTAACAAAATTTGAGTCCCCCAACCTGTATTATAACACTTTATGAACTGTGGGATGAATAAACATTATAAATAAACAATAAAAATGAGCTCCCCAACTGTTTTTACACTAGTGTGTTTGAAACTTATCTTAAACTTAGCTGATTGGCTCTGATATTCATGAGTGGACAAACTAGAATAGATCTGCTGTCATTGACTCCACCACAACAATGTATAATTATCTTAAAAGCCAGCCACGAGAAGAAGACACACCTACCAAACTGTCTTGACAACTAACATACAGTATACATCGTCTCAATGTAACAGATCATTTGTGCCCCAACATGTTTGTTGAATCCATCCAGTTGGTGTCTGTAAACGTCCTTGGCTCTTACACATTTTGTCACACAGCAAATATTTAAAGCGTCAAACTCAGTCTTCAGTTTGTCCTACAGATGTGGTGAAGGAGGACGTGTTATGGACAGACAAATATCAGCCCCAGCACTCCAGCGACATCATAGGCAACGCTGCCTCAGTGAGGAGGCTGCACAGGTGAGGAACTAAACCTGCTTTTAATTTGGCTGCACCTGTATAAAAATATAATGAAGTGCATTTGCTATATACTGTATCTCTTAAATGGTATTTAAGTTGTACATTGTTATTATTTTTGCACAGCTGGCTAAAGGAATGGAAACTCCGTGCCGACCGAGAAGAGAGAAAAAAGCAGACAGACAAGAAACCAGAGGAAGGCAGCAATGGTGAGATTAGAAAACTTCTATTCTTCTATTGGCTTGGTGTGTGTGTATGTTTGTTGTGACTGCATGGTGGCTTTTTGTGTCCAGACTCGGACTGGGACTGTGGAGAAGAGGACTCTCAGGATGGAGAGGACATGCTGTGTAATACAATGCTCATCACAGGACCCACTGGGATTGGAAAGACTGCTGCAGTCTATGCCTGTGCCCAAGAGCTGGGCTTCAAGGTACAGAAGCTTGAAGGTACACAACTGTGACACTTCTAGGAGTGAGCGTTTCCTAACATCCCTCTGGTCTCTCAAGGTGTTTGAGGTGAATGCTTCATCTCAGCGGAGTGGCCGTCTTATTCTGTCCCAGCTGAAGGAAGCCACTCAGTCACACCAGGTGGACAGTCAGGGGGTCAACGCCCACAAACCCACCTACTTCAACAGTTATGGCACAAGCACCAGCGCCGGCACTCTCAGGCCTGGATCCTCTCCCAGTATGTATAGAGCTGACATTGAGAGCACTGTTTTTAATAAGTTGTTTGCTTGTGAATCTGTTTTAGGCAAATGTTTTAGGTTTTTGGATTTGTACACATAGGAAAATTCATTGTTGATTTGTTTTCTTCATCTTCCAGGAAAGGTTAACTCTCCTCGTAGAGTAGTTTCCTCTCCCAGGAAACATCCTCAGTCCCCAAGAGGTGCTAAAAGAGGAGTCCTAGCTCCCACCTCTTTAGCTAACTTCTTCAAAATGGGTCGATCCACCAACAAAGAGACACCGAACACTAAGAAGAATGAACAAACTGGTAAATACACCTTCACTGTGTCAGTTGTTTACTTATATGACAATGTTAACCTTCATGAAAGGTTTTTATAAGTAGTTTTCAATAGTAAGTATTTTGCTTTTTTCCCCCCTCTCGCTCATCTCTTTATATAGCTGCTTCCAAGAAAGTCCCAAAAGCAAATGAGTGTACCAGTAAGCATAAAGACCCTGCAGTCAAATCCCCAACACCTACCACCCCTAAAGTGAAAAACAACGAAGAGCAGAGCAAGAAGACAGCCATCTCGCTTATCCTGTTTGAAGAAGTGGATGTTATTTTTGATGATGACTCAGGATTTCTAGCTGCCATCAAGACATTTATGACCACTACCAAGAGGCCAGTCATCCTCACTACCAGTGGTGAGTCGAAGGACAAAAGTCAAAGGCAATATCTTGCAGTTTGTTCTGTGTTGGTCGTATTTATTTTATACCCTGTGTCTGGCCCTTTAAATTTAATTAAAATCTTCTATTTTCTGTAGATCCTGCTTTCAGCACCATGTTTGATGGGAACTTTGAAGAGATCAACTTCAAAACACCATCACTGGTGAGTGGATGATTTCTGAACATATACATTTCATTATTAGCTCTTATTGAACGAATGAGTTGTAGCTTGATCTTGTGATGCTCATCAAGTAAAAGAGATCAGTTATCAGAAGTACATTTTTGTTCATTAGTCAGTTTCTCAGTTTTCCTTTTCTCCCTGGTACAGTTGGACATGAGCAGCTCCCTGCAGCTGTTGTGTCTGGCAGAGGACATGAGGACCGACCCGTTGGACATCAGTTCTCTGCTCAGACTCAACGGCTGTGACATCCGGCAGAGTTTACTGCAGCTGCAGTTCTGGACTCGCAGTGGAGGAGGTCGCTCTACAACCAGGCCGTTTACGCACACTGACAAAAATGGTAAGGAGGTGAAACATTTATAACCTTGTCAAAAAAGTGGTTCTGCTTTCTTTATATTTTTTTATGTTTTGTAGATCAGTAACTAGCTATATTTAGTTGAGAAACACATTTAACAGCAAACCATTTCTTTGCTGTTGTCATTCCTTCCTTTATTTCATCCTGTCCAGATTACTCGAACTCTAACTATATTCTGCATTCAATTCATCCAAAATGCAGCTGCTCAGCTTTTGACTGGAACTGTGAAAAGAGAACACATTACCCCAATTTTAGCGCTCCTTCTCTGGCTTTGCGATGACCTTGCATTTTCTGTCATGGCACCTAGAAAATGGAATGAATTGCCATTAACAAGCTCCATCAGCATCACTTCATAACTGCATTTTAAATATATCATCTTATGTCGTTTTTGTGTCTCCTAGATGTTATTATATTTTTTTATGTTATCTGGTTTTACTTTTTACTGTATAATTGTATTACTGTCTCGTGTCATTTATTAAATAACTGTTATTATTAACCTATAACCTAATAATATTTCCTCCTCAATCCTTTTAAAAGCTCAACTAAGGCCAGAAACTCATGAAGAGGCAACTGGCATGTCTGTGTGTGCAGCGACTGCCCCATCCGCTCTCCCTCCCTGCGATACCGGCTGCACTGAGAGCATGCTGGGACTGCTGAATATTGAACCCGAGAGAGACATTTGGGAGCTGCTCAGGGTAAACTCTTCATTTGCCACATACACTCACTCAATGTATGTGAGTTAGTTTTTTCTCTGTTGATTCACATTGTGCTTGATTTAATTGACCGGATACATGTTGTCAACAGAGCCGGAGTGCAGTGGAGGAGGCGTTATGTGGGGAGCTGCTGGTGAACAGCAGGCGGCGAGGAGTGGACTTGCTTTATTCCAACATGGAAACACTCTTACCTCTACCACTCACACAACTGACTACCTCAACCTACAAACCAGAGCAGTCTGTTTCTGTGTCACAAGACCATCCTTCTGTTAAGCCACAAGAGCTGCAGTCCACCTGCCTGAATGACATGCTGCTGTCCCATCCCGGGTTATTGCACAATGCAGTGTCAGTGGGTTGCTCAGATGATGGCAGTCCAGTTAAAATGTCCAGCCGGATGAGGAAGAACAAGAGGCGGCACTGTCTACCTGACCAGGATGGACTGCACTCTGACTCTGACTCAGAAGACAGTTTTCTATCTCTCTGCAAGCCTCCTTGGGCAGAGGAGGAAGTCAAAGAGAGTTTAGTTTTAAAAACAGTAAAGAGGAAGCCACTAACTCCCGAGGAGCGGGTAAAGAGTCTCCCAGTCTCCCAGTGTCTAGAATCAATAGCTGACTTTTTGGACAACATGTCCTACATGGACTCTTCTTTGCTCGTTCGTCCAGAAGGGGCTGACAATCAGAGAACATCGGTAGTTGGAGCAGTGGTGAAAGATGGGATGACGGATGAGTCGAGGGTTGAGACTGACGGAGGGAGCTGGGTAAGAGGAGAGCGCTTCTTGGAGATCCCGGCCGCTGTGGAGGCGATGAGCTTCCATAACTGTCGGGTTTCAGTGGAGAACGCGTGGGACAAAGCCCAACAACTGGAAGGGGAGCTGGGAAAGGAGGCTAGAGCTGAACTCACCCTTCCTGTGGCTGCTCATCGTGAAGGTTACAGCTTCACTCAGGACAGCCCCTGTCAACCACAGTGAGTCTTACTATTCTTTCTTTACACGATGTTGTCATCTTTTGTACAATATATACTGTGACCAGTTTAGCCAGAGTTCAACCAGTTTGTGAGTAGTGTGTATTGATGTGTTCCAGGCTGGTCCAGCGGAGGAGAGAAGTGATGGACAGTCTGATGTTCAGGGGAGTGTTTGGTACTCTGGGCAACAGACCAGCGGCTGCTCTGGACTATTTGCCAGCCCTCCGCACCATCTGCAGATCAGAGCAACTTAAGGAGCAGGGCAAAGTTAAACGAAGGTGAACATACAGAAACCATAGTTAGATTCATTTCACTTAGTTTCACTTGGCCAGCTGCATCAGGTCTGGGTTTAAAGGCCCTGTTTATATCACAAGTGCACAACTTTAAGCATGTTCTTTCACACCTGGCATTAAAATGCGTCTCCACCAGCATCTCGTGTGACCACTTGTGATTGGATCTCACTTCCCCACTGTAAATGCAAATAAACACAATATGGCTGAACCCCACTCAGACATTTGTGTCCTATACTACGGTCCTTTTGGCTGTTAATTGCATATATCTGACTATTTGTTCCTCTTTTTTTTTCAGCTCAGAGACTAAAACTTCTATATCAGCCTGAGTTGCATGTTTTACCTGCACTGTTAGCCCTGCAGGAGAGATGCTCCGTGGTGGCTGAGATTTTGTAACTGATTTTTACGAGCACAACACACCCTTTTTTCTGTGTGGAAATCGGATGTTTTCACATCACAGATTACAAAGAACGGCATTAATGCCAGAGACGGTAAACTTGTGCGTCCTGCACATTAATGCCAGATATAAACAGAACGTTTGGTGCATTCACACCTGTACTTGGAGTTGTCCACTTGTTAGATCAGATCACCCTAGATGCATAATAATGCCAGGCCTGAACAGGGCCAAAGTGGCCAGGAAGTGCCTTTCTTGACAGGCTACCAGTAGATGACTCATATAATGATGTAAGTTCTGCTTGTTTTAACACCAAGCGCATATGACTCACAGGCTACATATAGAAGTGTCAATTGAGTTGTAATTGTTTGCAAGACTTGGTGCATGCATGCAATTCATACAAACGCAACCAAGTCTGTTAAATGGGTCAGAGAAAACTGAGCTGTGTGTTTTCTTTCCCCCCCTCCAGGTTCCTGCACTACCTAGATGCGATCCACCTGGGTGTTGAAAAGAGCACTCTACAGCACCTTGCTGAAGACTTCCCCTAAAACCACAGATGAGATGAGACGTGTCCTCATAATCACACACAGGCCTTAAACAAATATTGCCCTTTGAGTGGTCACAGTTTTAAGGGCCGTACATTTTTGGCTCTTAAACTGGAAGGAGCCCATTTAAAGGCTGGGCTGTGGCACAAGAACGAATAGTCGTGCAGCATAAATCAGTGTTGCCTTTTGTGTCTTTGTGGTCCTGACCTCAGCACGAGATAAGGTTCCTAACCCTCTGTGTGGAAGTTTACGCATATATGTGAAGGGCGCACAGCTAAATAACCTCAAATGTGCTCTGATTCAGCACATTTTCTTTGGTGCTTTCAAAGAATGCACTAAAGATAACTACTTTATATGATGGAGTGTATCTTTTTTTTTTGTACAGTAGTGTTTTATACTTTTGAAGCTTAATTTTTCAATTTGCTTTGCATCTTGTGAAGTGTTTTTATCAAGTAGAAATTGCTTTTGAGGAGCAAATGTGTATCATTAATGATTTGTAAGAGATTAACGTATAAAATAGAATTTGCTTCTGTATTTGTAAAGGCTGTGTATAAATTCTCCACTCAAAGTACTGTTAATGCACCCAGGATCTTGTTTCATTGTTCATAAAAGGCAGACAGCTTTTAAATGTCACTTTCACATTTATCACAAAGATTTTTTTGATTATTATTTTTTTTTATGTGGGTTTTTCTTCCCCAGCCTTAAATGTGTACACATTATTCACAGTGGGTTTTGTTGTGACCAAATAAAGGTTTATCACAACCAAATAAATAAACTGTCTCACCATTTATGTGCTTCATTTCCAGCATAATACACTGTCTGACCTCAGTGTGTGTAACAGTGTTACATTTCACAGTAACAATTGTAAATACTTTTACTCACATGACACAGTGGCTGGACTGGTTTCAGGTGAGTTTGTGATCAGATGCATGAACGAATGCCTCATCAGCGTTTACATTTGACACACGCTGTGTGTAGGCTGTTTTTAAAAAAAAAAAAAAAAAAAAAAAGGTCAACCCCTCAGAGACAAAAGCAGCGCGCATTGTTTGCTCTGGTGCAGCTGGACGCGCTCCAGAGGAGGGAGGTCCCCGTCTGCTTTGTGTTTTGACATCCAAAACCTAATCTGTCGCAACTTCCAGTTTTCAAATTGACGTTTCTGTCAGTTGCATGTCGGCACGTGGGAAGCTATGTGACCACCATGTTTAGTTTCGACCGAGGGATTCATCGTCGTTTGAGAAGAGACCCCGACTTTGTGCCGATATGGCAAACCATGAGCGCAACAAGAAGATCTTACTGGAGCTGGTGAAGCGTCCGGACAACAGGCGATGCGCCGACTGTGGCGCGCCCGGTAAGCAATGTCCTTTGTGAGTCAGTGGTAAACCTTACTCACAGCTTTTAAGCTTATTTCAAAGGTATTTTATAAGAAAATATCCTGTTTGTGTCTTAAATTGTTCAGGAGTTTTGTTACTCTTTTCAGTTTCTTGATAAATGTGATTGTTTTTCTAATTATCAGCTGGTTTAACACTCACACCCCAAGTGTGTCAGTGCAAACAACCGGAGAAATGGGGAAAAATCCCCTTAATTCACTGATAATAATTTGATTAACTATAAAGAGAGTATGCCTGATATCAGCTTGTATGATAAAAGCCTAAAGGTGAGTTGTTCTTTAACTCATGAGGTCTCAAAGAAGATCTCTATGTAAAAATTTATTTTTAATGTGATACAGTACTTTCATGATTCATATTCCAAAAACAAACAAACACGGTGTTTATTCAATTACACACAAAAACTGGGACTTTGTAATGCTCCAGCATAGGAATACAATGTACAAATGGGCCCCCGAGCAGGACAATCAGTGCAAAGTGTTGCATTTGAATCCCAGCTCTTCCTTGCATACCTCAGATCCAGACTGGGCATCCTACAAACTGGGTGTGTTTGTGTGTCTGAACTGCTCTGGCATCCATCGCAGCCTGTCCAGCCGGGTCAAATCCATACAGCTGGACTTCTGGGAGGATGAGCTGGTGGAGGTATGGACAGCTTTATAATGCTACTCATTGCTGTGATCACATATTACTTAATTAGCTGCGTCTGTGTGTAATCTTTGTGTGTCTTTTTGGAAAACCCGGGAAGTTCATGAAATCCAATGGCAATGTCAGCGCCCAGGCTTTGTATGAGAAAGCCGTTCCACCCTATTACTATCGGCCCCAGGAAAAGGACTCCGCGTAAGTATTTCTTCAGCATGCTGACAGAAATCTGGCTTAGTGCTAATGATGATGGGATATTAAGTTCACAGACTGCTGACAGGGCAATGCTGCAACAATAAAGAGAAGTGCAACTAGTGACTGTAGAAGTGAAATATGGATGGATTTCTGCTCAAAGATCAAAGCTTAATGATTCTTGTTGTGACACTGTAGCTCATGTTCACAAGTTGCTGTCGAACCTGTGTGTGTTGGGCCGGTCTAAGAACATTTTTGTGTTTGCCGTTGAACCACAGTGTCTTAAGAGAGCAGTGGATTCGGGCTAAATATGAAAGGATGGAATTCACAGGAGTAACTAAGTATCCACCCATTTCTTATACCACAGGTGATGTTTTAACTGTTTTCTAACACACATATCTACTGTACAACATACATTTGTATCTGTCTTGTTGGTGTAAAACGTTCATGAACAATGTGGTTCCTCATACACATGCAGAACTGTGCAAGAAGGAAAAACTTGTTCTTTTGCATAACAAAACAGTCAGGAAGTGAAAACTGGTTTGATTGTTACTCTCTGCAAAAATGTTTGGCTGTGTGACCAAAACGTGTTCATTCTGAGTAAGACTTATATCTATTGAAGCACCTGTGACTCAGTGGTTTTTTTTTTAACATTAAATCCAGGTTTCTATGAAGGGATGCTGTGGAAGAAAGGGAAAGAGAACACACAGTTTCTGAAGAGGAAGTTTGTTCTGTCAGAGAGAGAATTTACCCTGACTTACTACAACAAGGAAAATGTGAGTTCCCCGCAGCTCCGACACAGTTGAACCGCACTGTACAACATAAGTAGACTAAAGTTCAATATATTATGTGTGTCATGTAAGGGCATGTGTTTTGATTTGATCAATTTCCTTCATAACGTACAACAGTTTAGACTAGCCTTTTAACTTTATTGTCTCTTTAAAACAGCACTTACAATGTTAGTTAGTCACTGCTCTTTCTAAATGCTAATGTATGTTCACAATGACAATGCTGGCGTGTTGTTTAGTAGGTATAATGTTTATCATGTGCTCCACCTAAGTTACATTTGAGGCTGATGGAAATGTCATTAGTTTTGAAAGTATTTGGTCATAAATCAAAGTATTGGACAAAATGAAATTTTGACCTGATGATGGTACAAGAAGAAAGGTTGGAGGATCACTGTTCATCTTTTTTGTACCAAATTCCAGTCATTGAGACATTTTAGTAATAACCAAAAATGTCAACCTGCAGGTGGTGCTATAGGAAAACTCATCAAAGTCATTAGCATTCATTCTCTAGGGGCCACGAATGCCGGCCATCCATCCGATAGTTATTGTGTTTTTTTTAGTCGAGACCAAATTGGTGGACAGACTAAATGACAACCGACAACCCTAGAGCAATGCCGCTAGTAAGGCCAAACATGGGTGTACAAACAGCTTCATGCTTAATAAATCCAGTTGTCCCATCTCTGAACTACCCATCTATATATTTGTGATCCAGGAGTCCAAAGGCCCTAAAGCTGTGATCTCCATCAAGGACCTAAACGCCACCTTTCAACCAGAGAAGATTGGACACCCTCACGGGCTGCAGATCACCTACCAAGACGACAATCGCACCAGGAACCTCTATGTTTATCACGAGAGTCCTGAGGTGGGACTGCAGGACCATCCAAACTATAAATAACAGTAACCAGCAGGTCGTATACTGATAGTCATACAGTAGCTTTGGGGCTGTGGAGAAGCTCAGGGTCTCTTCTTCTACTCTAGGAAATAGTCACATGGTACAACGCCATTCGCGCCGCTCGCTATGCATACCTGAAGACAGCATACCCGACTGGCAGCGACGAAGAGGTGAGCATCGAACCTTCTCAAAACCCGGATAAACTGACACAATGTTGGGTCTTGGTCACATTTCAGTAACTCCCGGATGTCAATGCACTCAAATATCCACAGAGAAGTCTTTTTTTTTAGAGTCAGCAGGAATAAGAACAGAAACTTGCATCTTTTCGCTTTTATTTTTTGAAGCTCAACTTGTGTACCTTAATGTCTCTTTGTCAGCTGATACCAAAGATAACAAGAAACTACCTCAAAGAGGGATACATGGAAAAGACAGGGCCACTGGTGAGTTATTAAAACTAAATTTAAACATATACAGATACACGTTCTTCCAAAAGATTTATTTGTACATTTATTACGTATTTGCTTGGACTTTAGAGTTAATAATTGTTTGTAACAGTAACAGTATATTTTGTTTCTGTTCCTCCTACATACACAAAAATGTGGGAAATGTTTATTATTTATACCGCAATTACTCATGTGCTTAAACGTGTTGGTTTTTTTTTTTATAGCTAAAGGAACCATTCAAAAAGAGATGGTTTATTTTGGACTCTCAAAACAGGAAGTTGTTTTACTTCAAAGGCCAGTTGGTGAGGAACACCTCTTGCTCACTCTGCTGTGCATTGCTGTAAAATCAAGCACTGTAACCACCATTATGTTTGAATGTTTATGCTTATTTTGTGAATGTAGGATGCAGAGGAGTTAGGTGTGATTTTCATCGGCACAGAGAGCAAAGGTTACTCTGTAAATGAGTGTTTCCCGAGGCATGCTCGGGGAAACAAGTGGAAGTATGGTGTTATGTTGGAGACGCCCGAGCGGCAGTTTGTCTTCATGTGCGAGCAGGAGCGGGAGCAGAGAGAGTGGCTGGACGCCCTCAGACAGGTCCTGCACAGGCCCATGGCACCGCAGGATTACACCAGTAAGCAAGACTAGAAAATATTGCAAACATGTCAACAATGTGCAGTGCACAGATGTGTAGGAGCTTTCTATTATTACTAATATTCAAACACAACCACACATTAGTCATCCCTGTCATGTGAGAGCTTTTTGCATGTTTGAGTCACAGTTTCATACAAGCTGTTCCCCACCTTTGTTTTCAATAAATCAGCCTCACTATTTGCTTAAAATATGTGGCACAGAATAATGTAATCCTTCCTAGATTTTTGCTCAGCTTCAATGATGCTGATGTTTGCACCTTGAGTCTGCAGAGAGAGACGCTGTATCCTGTGTGATGCAGTCTGTCATATAGCAGGTTTCACATTGCAGTTTCATATTTGTGGGGGCTGTTCTCTCAACACTAAGAGTCAATGCCAAGATAATAATGTTAAGCATTGATGTTTTTAACATCACCATCTAATTTCGCACATTAGCATCTAATTAGCATCTAATTAGCATTAAGCACAAAGTGCAGTTGAGGCTGACATGAATCTCGTTAGTTTTGCAGTCATTGTATTGGATACATTTTGAAATTGTTATATGATGAAAACCAAAAAATAAAGGTACCATATTACATGGGATTAAATTGATCTAGAAGATGGTGAGATATGAGAGAATGGTGGCACTAACTGGACAGTAAAGAGATCACCTGAATAATTAGGATTTATCCTCTGGATAAATGCACCAAATTTCATGGCAATCTATAATTGTGAAAGGGATTTCACTTGAGGCTAAAAATGTCAACCTCATGGTGGCGCCAGAGGACAAACAAGACCAATTTCATATAATTGTTGAGGTGTTTTCAGTCTGGACCAAGGTGGAGGACTGACCCGTCTGACACTGGAGTTATGTGTGTTAGCGGCTCCCAGTTTTTCTCTGCAAAGTTATTCCAGACACCTGCACTCGCATATACGTTCATGCTTACACAAACCTGTATACGGTTGCATTGTGCATCCATATGACTCCCTCTCTAATACTGTAATTGTTTCTCATTCCAGTTGAAGCCAACATCAACCATAAAAGATAAACAACGTAGGGGTGTGTGAACAGGATCATGGAGAGGAGACTGCTGTCACTGCACTGTGTTGGGACTGACTGTGGTTCACCGTGTCACTCCCAGTACTCATCTCTGTGTTGTAGTAAACCATCTTGAAACATTACTCTGAATGTGCTCTGTGTGCATTAAAGACTTCCATCCACTCCCTTTAAACTGACATTGGATCTGAGGCTCAATCTCAGACTTCTGAGCGATTGTATCATTATGTAAAATCTACTCAAACTGTAGATGAACAATCACTGCATATCATCAGGATGGTTCTTCATTTTTTTATATTTTAAATTTCCAAATGAATAAGGATATACTTTTGGTAATGTTTCACGATCTTATGACCAAAAAATAAATTACTTTTTACAAAAATAATAATGTGTGGTTTGATTCATAGATTACATGTGAAGTATTATGTTGCATAAAACTTCCAACCCTTTTTACAGTTGTGCCAACATTGTTTTCCACGTACAACAGCATTTCTGAATTTACTTCGAATGGTACTTGATAAATTATGTTACTGTAATTTGGTGCAACCATGAATGACATGTCTGTATTATTTTAATATAAATATGAAATAAAATATTGTGACTTTTCAACACCTCAGAGTATTATGTTTTCTCTTTTTGATCTAAAATTGTATAATAATCAGTAAAGGACATGCTTAATTTTGAACAGGGAATAAATTATAATAATTATAAAAACTATACATATCATTTTATTCATATTTTTTGCACTATTTAATACACTACCACGCACTATTAGTACTGTACAGTTTGCATACATATTTAGATATATATCTATATATAGATTATATTTAAGTTACTGCTGTATATTTATATATATTTGTGCAATTATTTATTTTACACCATGCCACTACTTCCTGCTGTAACCTGTGCAATCTTCCGTATCAATTTGTATAAAAGCTGTATATACCGTACATACAACTCTTATTCTATTTTTCTTGTGTTTTTTCTATTCTATTTCTTATTTAATGTGTACTTTTATCTGTCGTGTCAGAGTGGGATCGATAAGTAGAAAGAAAGTCTATCTTATCTTATAATTGACCAAAACTAAGTAATGTAATAAAACTTCATTCAGGTTTTCACAGATAAGAACCGTCATAAACCTTTTGTTAAAACGTTTAATGTTATTGTTGACAGTAAATCATGTCTATTATGTTTTTATGAATCAGCGACTCAAATGCAGTTCCTCTCTGTGGCGCTAGAGGGCAGCATGACGCGTTTTTAAACCTCATACGATTTTGTCCCGTACGGCACGTCGTAGTTGCCGGGTAGTGGAGGTCGGGCATGCTTGTGAAACAACCACCACGAAATGCTATGCAGGCGCCCCCCTGAAAAAAAAACAAAAAAACAGGTATTAACATGAAATGACAGAGAAACGTGCCACGGACTACTTTCTTGAATCGCTTCCCCGCTGAGCCGACACGTCGCCAAGGTGACGGGAGGCGCGTAGAAGACGCGGAAGCATCGCGGAGAACCGTCCGTCCGTTTTGTCCTACAAAAGGCGCCGACAGTTTGACAGCGGCAGGAGCTCAGTGCGCAGGCCTGAGCGTTAACGGTAGGTTAACTGCCGCAGGAAGGACGGCAGCCAGAGGACTACATGAAACCATAAAGACAAGTCCTTTTTTGTGCAGAGGGAAACTAGATAAAACATGAGGAAGGACGTGAGGATACTGCTCGTCGGGGAACGTAAGTGGTTTCTTGTTTTTGTTTTTTTAAATCCCTGAGCGGTTGAATCGCCTGATTAGCTAAAATGCTAGTAAGGGAGAAAAGATGCTACACAGCTAGCAGATGCCCTCAGTGAGTCTAACCATATAAATAAATATATATATAAATATATATATGTATAATACAAAGCAGTGTGGTTATAAAGGGGCTGTTCGTTATCCTAAAATGTGTGATTAGGAGAGAGATATCTTTGGTTTCTATCTGCTGTTTAAGTTCTCACATGGTGAATGAATTCTGTCTCACCAGTATTTCCATACACTGCCATGTCTTTATAGTCAACACACTTCTTCTCATTACCAGATGTAATCTGAGCACAAGGCTGCAACAGAACTGTAGTTTTAATAGTAATTTACAACATAGCAACCCCCCCTCCTCCAGGTTATAATAGCTAGATGGCTCACGGAAACAACTTAACGTTAATATAATAAGTTAGCTATTGTATTGAACTTGATTAGTACCAGATTACAGAAAACAAAAGACCAGTGAAACATAGAAAATAAAAGTATTATTCTAACTAGTTATGGCACAAATAATAATTTTAATTCTGATCAAATTTGTTTAAATTCTTTGTCCCAAAAAAATGAAAAGAAATAAAAACCAAAACAAGTTTAAGTTTGCCTGCACATTTGAGAGGCTGGAGGAAGAGAGTATTTGGTATATTTAACTAATAAGAACTATATTTCCATTACCATTGCTGATAAATTACCTGTTGGCACAGCGATCCGCTGTATATTAATAACCAGAATTATGGGATGTTTGTGCTTGGAAGATGTTGACCTTTTCCCTGACCTAGGACCCTGGGGTGAGGGCAGAATTGAGCCAACGTGATCCCATCCTCCCTTAACTGTGTTTCACCTGGTGTATTTGTTCTCTTTAAAGTATGTGTGTTGTTGGTACTATTTCTATTTCAGTTGTGGCTATGCTTGATGGCCTACATTGCCACATTAGGCGAGTTGGTACTGACTGTTCCTGAGAGAGGTGCAGCCAAAATGCTACGTGCCTACTTCAGTGTTGTGAAGTTCAGTAGAGTACAGGTTGTGGGGTTACTTACTCAGATAGACTGTCAGGGTACTGAGGGGACAGAAGTGCTGCAAACTAGGGCTGCAGTTAAGGATAGTTTGCATTATTGGTTTACTTGACAACCATTTCTTGGATTCATTGTTTGGTCCAAAAGATATTAAATTTCAATCAGAAGCAAATCCCGACATTTTATAAGGTGGGAAGTGCAAATATTTTGCATTTCTGCTTAAACACTAATCGAATAATCCCCTAATTGTTTTACCCCACAGTTTGTTGTTGTTGTTGTTGTTGTTGTAGTTGTACTACAGCAAACAATCCTCCAATACAAAATACATGGCAAGTTAGAATATAAGTTAATATATGTGGTGATATAGCATTTGTTCTAGTGTAGACAGAAGCTTCTTTGTAATTTGATTTTACTATATATATATATATATATATATATATATATATATATATATAACATATAAGAATGTATTTAAGTAATTCTTGAATATCAGTGCAATCTTTCTATCATAGGCTTAATTTCAGACTCTGTGCTGGAACTTTGTGAGTTCTTGTTTGAGAAACTCGGCTGCAGCTCTCAACCCTCTTCAGCTGCTCTTATCTGTTCCCTGTCACTTAATACATTACCCAGACCGCTCAATAGAAAATGGTAGAGAGGTCATGTATTAATGACACATTGTCCAGTAAGAGAGGTGTGTAATGCTGGATTATAATACAAAATGTTTTTCCTTTGCCCATACAGCCAAAGTGGGGAAAACATCACTGATAATGTCTCTGGTCAGTGAGGAGTTTCCGGATGAGGTACGTATCAACAGGCAATCAGAAGATAGATATTGTAGAAATCATGCTGGTAGCTGTATAGTTGCATCGTGATCATATATCATGAGGATTAAAATGTGTAAATAAAAGACAAATGTGATGTTTCTGCTTACTGCCAGAAGTTTGAATAAACATATTCTTTTCTTCCAGGTTCCTCTCCGAGCTGAGGAGATCACCATCCCAGCTGATGTCACCCCAGAGAGGGTGCCCACGCACATTGTGGACTACTCAGGTAATCCTACTTCGTATTAATATGAATACTAGGTTGTTATTGTAAGAGTAAGGCCTGATAACATGTAGCACACTGTACTGATGTGCCTTTTTGTCACCTTTTTAGAAGCTGAACAGTCAGACGAGCAGCTATACCAAGAAATATCAAAGGTTGGTTTGACTTCACTCTTACTCTGATTTGTTCCTGTAATGTCTGTACCCCATGTGTTTCCTGTGTGCATCACAAGTTAATATTGCTGTTTGCCTTTATAGGCAAATGTTATCTGCATAGTTTACTCAGTCAACAACAAGAAGTCCATTGAAAAGGTGAGCATGGTTTCTCTTCGTTCTCGGCACAGTTTGTACACACAACATACAGTATGTCTGGAATTTGAAACAAGACGCTGCAAATCATTTTGATCTGAGAAAATGAATGTGTGTTAGTAATGAATGTTTGCCCGGCTAAAGTGTTTGATGTAATGCTTTACTCCCTTAGGTGACAAGCCACTGGATTCCCCTCATAAATGACAGGACGGACAAGGATAGCAGGTGGGTCTCTGTAATACGTGTGTTTGTGTATGTGTGTCTGTCTTGTGTGTGGGTCACGTCAGCCAGGCTCGTCCTGCTGCGTCTGCAAGCTTATTAAGCTCTTTATGTTAAACTGGTATGATGTCTTTCCCAGTAGCATATAAGGCTCAGTCACCAGTGAGCATGCTTTCTGGTCCGCTCTGATTGTAATTCTGATGGGTTGTAGCATTGATTGATTCAATAATCTGATGCCTTCTTACTGTTTGTGGCACGTTAGGTCAAAGTTTTAGTGAACAATGTTGTTTCTCTGACCACAAGTAAATTGTGGTCACTGGAAGTGCTGATATTCTTCTAGATTGTTGTTTAAAACTCACTTTAAAATGTCAGTATGATTTGTTTTAATCGGCGGGGTCAGCAGTTCAGGTTGCCTTTTGTTGCTGTGATTAGTAGCAGGTTTTGAAATCAGAGTTGTGGGAGCTAGGGATAAGCTAAAGCTCACTGAACGATTCAAAAGAGGGATATACATTATTAAGTGTGCACTGTATGAAATGCAGAACAATTTGTCCTTTTTTTTCCCTTCGATAATTATTGTAAACCTCATAAATTAATATGTGTTGGATATGCTGCATTAAGGTGAGATGTGTTGATGTCAAGGTGATTAAAGCTAATTTGTGGTATTTTGAGAACATGGTGTAATAGGGAGGAAACTAATTTTCATTATCAGTTCATCAGCAGACCATTTTCTCAGTCAATTAATTGAAAAGATATTTTTACAATCACACAAAGACCGATAAGAGAGGCTGTGTGAAGTTTTTGTTATATTTTTGCTTTAAAAAATAGCTTAATTGATAAATCTATTATAAAAATTGTTGCCTATTAGTTTTCTGATCAACTAATTGATTCATCGCCTAATTGTTGCAGCTCTATAATGTAGTAATAAAAGGCTTTATTGCAGGGTACCATTGATCCTTGTGGGAAACAAGTCAGACCTGGTAGAACACAGCAGCATGGAGACCATCCTGCCAATTATGAATCAATACCAGGACATCGAGACCTGCGTAGAGGTAAGGGATCGATGCACACACACATACACCCATGCACATATAAACCTTTCGGAGCCATTAGGGCAACGCTGTTTGGAGTTCCCAGATGTCGAAGTAAACTTTGATGAAGCACTTGAGAGCGATGAATTGGCAAATGAAATATGAAATCCAATACTAGCAGTGGCTGTTAGAGTGAGGTTGGCGGCCTGCAGGACAGATTGGCCCCCAGCTGCTCTCGGGCGGCACTCCAGCTCCTGACTCCACTTACACTCTGACTGAGTCATGAATAGATTTATATTACTGAACCCTGTGCTCTGAGGCCAAGGTCTGCTGAGTGATGGAGTGTCAGAGTGTTGAGAGGCTCAGAGGAAGCTGGGCTCTGTCTGCCTGACTGTTAAATTCAAATTTCCCTCGCATGAGACGGCTCAGTCAGGTGGATTATTTACAATGTCAGAATAGGGAGATGAGGAGGACGTGAGAGAAGACACATACAGAGTGGATACAGCTGGTGAGAGATTGACTCGTACAGTATGGAAGACATGTGAGCGATCTTTTACTGCTGGCTCAGTGTTTGACCAGATCAAGGGGTGGGTGGTCCTCACTTACATTTCTGGTTTATTCTGTGCTCCTTTTAAATCTCTTTTGCCAGTGATAGAGTTTTTATTTAAGTAAAAGGAGTAGTACCACTATTTAGAATTACTATAGTATAAATAACTTTTTATCATATTTGCCAAAACCTTCACAATATCCTGACAGCAGTACCCAAGGCAGTTGCTCTGCTTCCTCCTGGTCAACTATCTTTCTTGGCTCTGATATGTTGTTTTAGTTCAGGTGCTGTTGATTCATGCAAATACCATTAGGAGCACTAGGAGGAGCCAGAGGAACCACATTTTTTTTTACATATTATCTGTCTCATGTACTACTGTCATATAGAGAAAGTTTCAGCAAATACGACAAACAGTTATATAACTGCAGCTTTAAGTGAAAGTGTGTAAGTAATGGAAAATTGTATAAAAGTAAATATATTTACTCTGCAGGCAAAATGGTTTCTGTGAGTGTTACATTATTATTTAATGTCATACTGTTTGATTGGAAGTACAGTTTATTTAGAAGTGTATTGCAGTGAATATATGTATTTAATGTTACTTTGCACCATTGGACCTTTTGTTTGATCATTGACCCACTGTTGACACTGTTATATTGTGTGTTCACATGACTTTGTGAAGTTTTTCTGTGTAACAAGTAACAGAACAAAGGTAACATAATAGGCTCCAGAGTTGCTCTTGTTCACACACATGTTCCCTCTTGTTCCTCAGTGCTCTGCCAAAAACCTGAAGAACATCTCTGAGCTGTTCTACTACGCCCAGAAGGCTGTTCTCCACCCGACAGGACCCCTGTACTGCCCAGAGGAGAAGGAGGTGAGGTCATGCCACCAGTGTAATTAATAACATTAGTGAAAGCTGCATTGGACTTTTAAATGTGCAGATTTCAGGACGCTTGTATTGTGCATGCTGACCTTTGCTTGCTGGGACACTTAAATTAAACATCAGTCAAGTCAAAATGTCTGTGCTGTGCAAAAAGTGTATTTTGAAGACTACAAATGTATGGCAGCAAACATTGCGCCAGTTACAGAAGTGTAAAGTCCTCATATGCTTTGTCAATGTCATAAAATGATATGTTCTCCCTATTAGTTACATTTATTTAAACATGGCAGGCTGCCAACTTTATATTTAGTACCACAGTGTTAATAGAAGCATTGGTTCTTAATTAGTTTTTAGACAACAATCAGTCTAACATAAGGTTTATATTTAGGCAGAAAGAGAGCAGTAGTACCAGATTTGTTTGCGGTTTTGGAATCATATCATGAGTTGGATTGGTGTATCCCTAAAGTTGATTGATTGAAAGCTTTCTACTTTATATAAGTACATGTAACCACCTTAATCTTTACTTTTTTCTTCTGTATTACAGCTGAAGCCCTCTTGCATTAAGGCTTTAACTAGAATCTTTAAAGTGTCCGACCTGGACAACGACGGCATCCTTAATGACAATGAGCTCAACTTCTTCCAGGTAATGTTTTCCATGTACTAGTGTCACTGTCAACATCATTTTCATGCAAGAGTTACTCAAGAGTTCAAAAATGTGGAAGGCTTCGTCACTAGCACAACTTGTTAGAACTAAGCCTAAGCTGTGAAGTATAAAACAAGGAGAGAACAGCTAGACTGGTTTAGGGTGGCAGGTTTAAACATGAACCAAGCAAAACATTGCAGCTTTCTCATCAATGCATTGCTTGTTGTTTATCTCTATAGAAAACGTGTTTCAATACACCACTGGCACCTCAGGCCTTAGAGGATGTAAAGAATGTGGTCAGGAGGAACATGACAGATGGAGTCAAGGACAACGGACTCACACTCAAAGGTCAGACACTCCTGTTTTCATATTCCTCCTCTTTCCTCCCTGCTCTTCGTTACTTATCATTCATCATGTCCCATCAGCAATCCTTCTTCTCAGCTTGTCTTTTACTTACTGCCCATTCTCCTGTCATGTGCTCTTTGTTGCAGGGTTCCTGTTCCTCCACACCCTCTTCATACAGCGAGGGCGACATGAGACCACGTGGACTGTGCTTAGGCGGTTTGGTTATGACGATGACCTGGAGCTCACACAGGAATACCTGTTTCCCTTGTAAGTACACTCAAAGGTTATTAGTGGAGTTATGTTTTTTAATTTTTTTTATTTTGAAGATGCAGTGGAGACAGGAAAGAGGTAAATGTCTGAGGAGAACTTTTACCTTACAAAATCAGCAGGGTTTCTTGTTTGTTTGTTTTCAATTGCAGTTTTTTTTTTCTTGGTCGTCATTGGGTGTATAAAAATGCCAAGTACATCACTGACATGTTCCTTGATAAAAATGTTGAGTGCTGTCACTGACGTTTATGCTCTCAAATAATTTGCAGGTTATATTCTTGATTAATCACTTCACTGTTTTGGTCTATAAAAAGTTGGTGAAAGATGGTGAAAGATGCTCAGTATAATTTCCCAGAGCCCAAAGAGATTCAGATTTCTTGTTTGATTCAAACAACTGTCTGAAACCTAGAGGTATTAAAGTTACTGTCATAAGCGACAAAGAAAATACTCTAAACCTCGCATTTGAGAAGCTGGAAAATGTTTAACATTTTTGCTGGAAAAATTACTAAAATTATTGATTTGATAATTGATGATCAAAATACTAATATGATTACAGCTCTAAAAATGTAAGTTCAAATTCAGATTGCTCAAATCTTTGTGAATGAATGTGGTAATGGTCAAAAATTATCTTAGTTTAGTCTATACATGATAGGGTTTTTATGTTATAGTCGAACTTACATCATGTTCCTCTTTTGAAATGACTTCATGTTGATCACAGCTGACAATAGCAGCAAATTGTTTCCTCTTCTCTGCTGAGGAGAATCTGGTGAACTTTATGACCTGAGTGATTGATTTGTAACATTTAAAGTCAGCATCAGAAACATTTGACTCTGTGATCCTCAGTCAATGCTCTGGAGCTTTCTGTTAAATTATTGTTTCTGTCTGTCTCCTGTACTATAGGCTAAAGATCCCCCCCGACTGCACCACAGAGCTTAACCACAACGCTTACCTCTTCCTCCAGAGTGTCTTTGACAAACATGACAAGGTTAGTGGTTAGCAGTGTTTAACATTTAGAAATTAATTTTGCCACCTTTTTTAATTTCCTCATTATGTTTATTTACAGATTATATAAAAAAAAAAAACACTTTTGTGCTCAATCACTTGTTATAATCCAGGACAGAGATTGTGCGTTGTCGCCAGAGGAGGTGAAGGACTTGTTCAAAGTGTTTCCCTACATGCCCTGGGGTCCAGATGTCAACAACACTGTTTGCACTAACGACCAGGGATGGATCACATACCAGGGATATCTCTCTCAGTGGACGTGAGTGTGGAACATATCTATTAATACACACACACACACACACACATTCACACACACATTCACACGTACACTCATGCCTATTTTAGTTTTATACAACCTGAATACATTCATACTTCTGTGAGACATACATCGTTACATAGAAAATACAGACCATTTTACAAAATCATAAATCTCTCCTACCATCAGACTCATCATGAATTATGTGTTCTCTGTGGTAGGTTGACAACATATCTAGATGTACAGCGTAGTTTGGAGTACTTGGGTTACCTGGGCTACTCTATCATCTATGAACAGGAGTCCCAAGCTGCTGCCATTACAGGTAAGACAATAATGTCTAATATATTTATTATTATTATTATTATTATGATTATTATTAATTTTAACAACAATTAAAAAAAAAAAAAAAAAAAGCACTGTAACGTGGATCAGTAAATGCATTGTTTGCTTTTTGTTTAGTTTAATATAAAAAATTGCATGAATTTTACTGCATGTTGCCATTGTTCATGTATGTTTGTAAATTCAAATTCATTCTATTCTTTCAGTGACACGTAACAAGCGCATTGATCTGCAGAAGAAACAGACCCAGCGCAGCGTCTTCCGCTGCAACGTCTTGGGGGCCCGGGACAGCGGGAAGACTGGCTTCCTCCAAGCGTTCCTGGGCAAGGACCTGCAGGTCAGTGGAAGTGATGACTACAAATCCTTTTGAACTCTCTTTTTAAATTGGTATTTATAGCAGTTTGTCTTGTTTGTCTTGTGGGACGCGCATTATAAACATGTAAATAATCTTTATGGGTATCTGTTATTGACCTTGTTCATTATCCAACACAGCGACAGAGGCGGATTAGAGAAGACCACAAGTCCCTCTATGCCATCAGCACGACTTATGTGTATGGTCAGGAGAAGTACCTGCTGGTAAGAACCGTTTACTTATCATCTGGTTTTTGGATTACTGTTACATAATCTGAGTGTGTTACACTTTACGGTCTATCAGCATTAGGACTCTGCAAAAAGTTAATCCCTCCATCTGCACATCCTCTCTCTCTCTCTCACTCTCTCTTTCTCTCTCTCTCTCAAATATACACACGACAAGCTCCATGAGGTGATGCCAGATTTTGACTTCCTGTCAGAGGCGGACCTAGCCTGCGATGTGGTGTGCCTAGTGTATGACATCAACAATCCACGCTCTTTTGAATACTGCGCCAAAGTGTACAAGGTATGTTTCATAAGATGGAAAAATGCTCAACAGATGCAGCTTATTTGATCTTGTATGCCTAAATCGTAACTTTGAACTGTTGTGTTTGGCAGCAATACTTCATAGACAGCAAGACGCCATGTGTGGTGATTGCCGCCAAGTCAGACCTGCACGAAATACGGCAGCACTACAGCCTCTCGCCGCAGGAGTTCTGCCGTAAGCATAAGCTCCACCCACCCCAGCCGTTCACATGCAACACGACTGAGGCTCTCAACAAAGACATCTACACTAGACTCACCACCATGGCCATGTATCCGTGAGTACCAAACCTCTCTGTGGTCTCATCTAGTTAACCCTTTACACCTCTGTGAATCCTGCAACCATATCCTGCAAGCCCATCTTTCTCTGTGTGTGTGTGTGTACCTTTCCACTTTTACCTCTCTCCTGGATGTATGTATCAGACAGTGACATTTTGCCCTAAGTAGTCGAAGGTTACAGCAGGGGGAAGTGAATCAAAGCCATTATCTGTATGCTGTGTAACATGTAAACTTTGGACTCCTCCAGCCACTCCGTCAGTAAATGAGGACTTTGGTTTCCTGACCTTGCTACCAAGCGCCCAGAACAAATTAAATGCACATTCTGGGTCTCTTATGCTCCCCTGTAAGTCAGTGTTGTGTGTGTGGGTGTGTGTGTGTGTGTGTCCTTGCCTGAAATTCTTTTAGGTCAATCCTTTATTGGGTGTCTTAACTCCTCAAAGCTTTCTGATCAGATTAGATTTCACAGTAGATTAATTAGCACTCAGTGCCCACTAAATCTCGTTTTAGCGGGCCAGAAATCCTATTGTCTACATTTTTAAACCATTAGATCTGCAGCACTCACACACGAGTTTGAGTAGTAGTTAAGTTATCCTAGGTATTAGAAGCAGTGGGCAGCCACTGTGCAGCCCCCATATGGGCCGACTCCAGTTTTAAGCCAGTGCCTTTGTCAAGGGCACTGACAGGAGAATTAACCCTACCATAAACATACACGTTGGCTGCTTTGATATAAAGAAAGGGGCTTACTGAGAGGAGAGCTTCTGAGTCCACTGACTGCTCTGACTCTATAAGGAGTAAATGAATCTACTGATCGAAGGTGAATTCTCAAAATCTCAATAGTTGTCAAAGCTGTCAACCTATTTCAAGCTTTCCATCTTGAGCTGCTTTTTTTTTGTTTTAATGCATTACATCATTAGGAGCGTGTAAACTGAGCAGTCTAAAATCTCTTTTTGAAACCCTCAAAAACATTTGTCTTGTTGCTTTAAGTTCATAAGTTGGTTATTTTCAGAGCTTTTGCATTTTAATGATAACCCTCAGAATTTTTCCCTTCCTTCCTTTGTAGTTTTCTTCTCCTTATGCCTTCTTGTGTTTATTCTCCTTTTAAGCTTTAGACTTAGACTTTTTATTATAGTTGTTAGCTTGTCAATACTTTGGTATACTTTGGTTTACTTTGTCTGAGGAGGTTGCAGGTTGGCTTTGATGTAGCCCAGTGGTTAAATAAAGTTGAGGTTATTATCCTAGCTTTGGCCTCCTCATCCTCCTCCTCCTCCTCTTATGTTTGTTGTTTGGTACGTGTCTTTGTATGGTGGTGAATACACGCATTTTTGTGTATCTTTCCGCAGCCACGCCCGTCTCCGCTGCATGTGTGCCTGCAACAGGTGCACCTATTGCCTGTGTCAGAACCTCCTCAAGTCGGAGCTGCTGCGCAATATTAAGGCCCAACTGCGCAGGGTCGTTTTCAACAGGTTCATACCTAGAATAAGCTCTAGTGTTTTAACATAGACTCATTCCTCCTCCCTGTGTCTCCCACCCTCGGGTTGGACCTCCAGGATGGGTCACAGGGAGGCTCCTTTTTCACCCAAGCTCTCTAACACTGGTGATGGGGACAGCTCCTCTGCTTTCCTTCAGTGCTCGTCAGCAGTCAGGTTTACACTGCATATCCACTGCGAGGAAAAGGGGATATTAAATGTCATAGTGATACTGTGTGCCAAAATTGTTGTTTAGATAAATTGTCTGGTTTTCCATTTGTGATGTGGAGTTATGCATACATATTATTTGATACTTTGAGGGGAATTCTCTTTTTGCTGACTGTTACATTGCTGCCTATACGTCACTCGTAGGGATGAGCTGTACCTCAGCAAGAGGATGCTTGTTGACAAAGATCTTTGGTTGTGTAGTTCAAAGTTACTCTCTATCCAAAAAATCAACCATCTGTCATAGACGTCATTGCTTCCGTGATTTATTTATTTATGTCAAAACAAATCAGAGCTTAGTTCTTTAGAAATGTTTAATTTTATTGATTTTATTTGATTCTTTTTTATTGTTTTTTTTAATTAAAATTTTAAATTAAATTCTTTAGTTAATCTGATTTTGTTTTGTTTTTTTACATTTTATTTGTATTTAATTATATAATTTAATAATTTAAGTTTATATTTAAAGTAGTTTAATTTGATAGATGTTTTATTCTTAGCTACAAACTTCTAGGACCATTTTTGAGGACTCCTAGTGGTAAGAGAAGCCACTTAATACGGCCACATGTTACATTACACCCAAATCAAAAGTGAGCTGAGATTTTATTTATATGATTTTTTTCCTATACCTAAAAACCCATCAGTCATGTTAGTGTCTCGGTCTCTGCTCCAGCTCCAGCCAGCCCACCCGCTCTCTGTACAGTTTGACACAGCGAAGTGTGACCGTGCTGTGCCAGCTAACACACAGGCTACTAGCCAGGCAGGTGACCGTGTGTTGGAATCGGCGTGAAAAAATGCATGATGTTATCCGCTTGCAGTGCAAACTTTACTCATAATACTGACTACCGTACATAACACAAGCATGTTGTAAAATTAGAGAGCAAACATTTTCATCAGAGGCATGGATATTTTTATTTTTTTATTTTTGTATATTTGTTTTTCTGCAAGTCCATTTACAGTTTACTGTTTAAAAAGTGACCTAAGAGTTGTGTTTGCTCCCTCCTGTCCTGCAGTGGATATGCAAACTGTAAATCTTGGCTAACAAAGCATATAATTTGCACAGATAATGAGAGAAACACAACCATTCTTCTCTGGTTTGTGCTTCCAACTGAAAACCTCATCGAAGTCTGCATGTTTGATATGTGATTTCTTTTCAGTCACATACACGCATTCAAATTCTTCCTGTCTATTCATTTCTCTATGGCACCAACCTCCATCAGTTATCAAAGACTGCTAAATTGATTATCTATGATGTTTTCAGTCTCGCTTTGTCTTCCTTTCCATTCTTAACACTGAAGTCTACACCTACAGGAGACACCTTTTTTTACTTGACTTGTATCCTTCCTGTACATATACTAAAATATGAACTGCTGTTCACACGTTCTCCTGTGGGTCGAGACTTCATACAGTTAATATGCTGATGTTTAAAATCAAAATGTGTTTCTTTGATTTTTAAAAAGAATTGATTGTATTTGAATGTACCAATCACCCTGTCATTTCATCCTGTTTCTCCTATCTTGTATTTCCTTTCTTTGTGTTTTTCCTTCCACTCTATAGGTGTTCATACCCATGTTTTTGGCTGCCCCTCTTCCTCTTCCTCTTGCATGTTTTCACCCTCTGCTAATCTGCCTCTCTGGGTAACTAAAGGCATGCCTCGGTCCTATATTTTGCCATCTACTGGCGGCTGGGAACAGGTTTCTCATCTGTCCGTGTCTGCAGTAAAGAGAGCTTGGTGTTTTGAATAAAGTGGGGGAGGTTTACTGAACCACAGTGCAGGGTTTGAATGGCTGTTTATGGTGTTGGATTGGGCAGAAGCGTGTTGTGTGTTTGCTGAATTTGAATATGTTAAACTCAACAGTGGCATAAAATGTGCAGGGCCTTTGGTTGGGTGTCCTTGGACCCAGGCAGAGCTATATGCTGTAGTGTTGCATCCAGCACTAACCCCTTTGTGTTGATGCGTACTTAATCTTGGGAGTTGTTGACACTATTAATAGCATGACACTTACTGGCAGTGCAAGGGGCTGACCCACCACATTGAACGCCCAGCGTGTTTTCTCAAAAGTAGTTCTGTTGTTTTAAATGTATATAGTAGAACAATGTAATTCAATAGTGTGCAATACTGAAATCACTTCAGGTCACCAAAGTTACAAACAAACAGTAGTAAATTGTGTCAGGTCACTTGAGAAACTTGATTTTATGGAAGCCAGTGCAGAGGGAATACAAGTCTCCAGCGATTTCTGTTGTTCTGCACTTTAATCAAAATTTACTGCCATGAATACGTAAGAGCGTTTTCTGCAGCAAAGAAAGTTTTCCCAAGAAACTCACACTCGAGATCTTTTCAAATTGATTTCACTTCTCAAAATGGCTCAACCCTTCCAGTCTGGCTGCCATGTGGTGTGTACAGTATGTATCTGTGGTGTGTTTGTGTAGCTTTATTGTCGTTGTCTGAAGTGTGTGGTAACATTTGACACGGTATGCAGTCATGGTTGAGCTTGTGCTTTAAACGTTTGGGTGGTGATTGAAGTTCTCTGCTTTTACGGGGTGGGCAGAGCTGGGTGAGGAGGCAGATATCACGATAGTTTCAACTTCATATTACAATATGTTTTGTGTTACTGTTGACATTTACTGTGAAATGTCACCTGCACAAACAAACATTATTAATGTGGCCAAGAAACTGAATTAACTGAATCTCAACCAAAATCATAATAATGATATATAGTCTTACAGCACAATATCAGTTTTATTTTCATGCTGTTTCCCAGCTATAAGGTAATTGAATATTAAAAGAAATAATAATTTAAAAAAAAGAAAATTAAAATTATTTGATGTCAATGAAGATGTACTGTAGTGTTAAAGCAAGTACAGGCATTCATGGATAATTTCATCAGTCATATTATTTTAATGTGAGAAGGCTAGGACAACATATATTCTGTGTTACAACATTATAAGAGCTTTAATCATTCTGATAATTAATTAGTTGTTTTGTTTCTTTGTTTTTTAGACAAATATGCACAAAGTTCTCTGGTTTCAGCTTCTTAAAGTGATTTTTTTTCTGGTTTTCATATAGTCTGCCCTGATAATTAACTTAATATCTTTGGTTTTTAGACTGTTGTCAGCCAGAAAAAGAAGACATCACCATTAATTAATTGTCAATTTATGGATGATTAATCAAGAAACCAATCTGCAGTTAAGTAATCGCTAATGAGAATAATTATTAGTATCTAGTATCTCCCAGCTCTACCTAGTGTGTGCGTGTGTGCGTGTGTGCGTGTGTGCGTGTGTGTGCGAGTGTGTGCGTGCGTGTGTGTGGGTGTGGGCTAGGCTGGGCGGAGGCTGTGGGGGAGGGGCTACCTGCTGTCAGAGGAGGATTTCAGCCTGTCACAGCAGGTTTCAGCCGTCTCCAACGTGGACGGGTCCGTCTTTATGGAGGTCTCTGCTGTGCAGCTAATTCCCCCAGAAAGGTAAAGGCAGAAACTACATCCACAGAGAGAGGGGTGTTATATTTTAATCTTGTGGATGGATAAGTTCAACTCTTCAGCAACAGCTTGTCAGGTCATTATTTTAAAGGCTATTGCCAATGTTATGTATGTCCTGAAGCGTTGTAGAGAGACTTATTGGTGTCTTTGGGAATAGTTTCACATCGTTGGAAATAAACGTATTCACTTTCTGGTGTAGAATTTGAGGAGGAGATATATTGCTCTCATTTCTGTCCATTAAATACAAACTCAATCAGGTGAACATAAACTTGGCACTAAGTTCAGAAACAAGGGGAAATGGCTATCCTGGTTCCGTCAAATGGTAACAAAATCTGCCTACCAGCACCTCTAAAGCTCTACAATTAACATATTATCTTTATTATTTAAGCAAAAAAAAGTGCAAAAATGTACTTGACCTGGTAGCTAACTGCCAAGGAAATAATAATTCTCTTTCTCGTCTTTGTGCTAAGCTAAGCTACCCGGCAGCCGGCTGTAGCTCAAATTATATTTATATTAAATGGACAAACATGAAAGTGATTTTGATCTTCTCTAACTCTCTGCCAAAGAGTGAATAAGTGACTCTTCCCAGTAGAGGGAGCATAAGTGACCAGTGAGGAGAGAGGTGTTTCAGGCTGGTGTCTCTCCTGATCCTTCTGGAGTCCGGGTTCCTGGTTTGTGTGTTCAAGGTTTAACTGCAGTCCAGTCTCTGCTGAGCCACCTGCTCACCCACCAAGGATTTCACTTACAGGCCAAAGTTGCTGTTGAAGCTAAGATTTTTAGACTTCTTTACACTTTTCCTTTCACTTCATTGCCTTTTTGTAATTGCTTGCTTTTATTGCAGTCTGCATAGTCCCCCAGTGTTTGTTTCTTGCCATATCAGCTGGATCTGTGTTTGGTAGGGCAGGCGTTAACCCAATTAAAATAACCTATTAGTTACTCCTTTTTGTTTGTTTTTTTTTTGCCTCCCCGGGAAAATTAAAGCAGCTGTTTCTCATAGTTCCAACACCTCTATCAAACTACTTTTATTGTCTGGCCACTTCCCCAAACCAAAACTAAACCAAATGTCAAGAGAAAGCATGTGTTCCTGTTTCAAACTGGGATTACAGGGTGAGGATTTTCATTCTTTACTGTCCTGATTCAGGGAGTTTCCACTAGAGAGAGCACATGACTTTGTCTTGTCATTTGGTAACTCATCCCACTGTGGTTTTAACAATGGAAATAAATTGTGCCACAGCTTTCATTGTGTTAGATGTTGCTCCTTTTGTTTTCTTGTCACGTTTCTTTTTCTCCCCTCACCTGCTCTCCGTCTCTTGCTCCCTCTCACAGGCACATGGCTCAGGCGGACCTGAAGAACTCGACCTTCTGGCTGAGAGCGAGCGTCGGTGCCACAGTGTGCGCCGTGCTGGGCTTCGCCATGTACAGAGCACTTCTCAAACAGCGGTGATCAGACAGCATGAGACACCTACTTCCTCTCCCCCCTCCTCCCTCGGGTCCATCTGTTGACTCTGCCCCATCCCTCCTACCTGAAAGACTCAAAAAGACTGGCCTCAGCCTCCAGCTCCAACTCATCCCCTTCCCACAACACGAGCAAGAAACAAATGAGTAAAATCCTAGGTAGATTTTATATGCATTTAAAAACAGAGTGTGTGGTTTAGTTTTTTGGTTTACGTTGTGGGGAAAGGGGGCAAGATACTTTTGAACTCTCACTTGTTCATCGGCCAATTTGTAAATTCTGACATTCTGTGATCTGTTGGTCTAGTCTAGTCTAGTCCAGTCCAGGGTCAGACACTACTAGTCTTTTTTTTCTCAGGTCAGTATTATTAGCTGGAGACCAGAGAGAGGCAGCCATACACAGAAACACCACAAAGGGACTTGAATCTGTTTATAGATTATGTATATGCAGTATATTATGTACGTATTCCTCAATAATTTTAGGATTTGGATCTGTAGACGGCTTCACCAGCTAGAAGCAACACCTGCAGGAGGTTTTTAGTGCTACATCTAATACTAGAAAAAGGTCATGGATGTCATTCACTATTTCATTTTTGTGTGTTAATTTATTAACCTGTTCCTTTTTGTTTTCCGGTCTGTTTTTTGAGTGCACTGCATGAAACGGATGGAGGGATTTACACTTTCCATGTATTTTTGTATTTAGTGTTATCAAAGCTGTCCTCATCATGACTTTTTTCTGCTTCTGTTTTTAATTTTCTGGTTTTCGAATAGAGCTTTGTCCCTCGTTATATTTTTATGAAGTTAGAGGCACCATAGAGCAAGAAGATTATGCTACTAACAGCCATTCAGCGCACCTCTCCCACCTTAAAACTATGAAAGTGTTTCTTCTCATTCTTATCTTTTTCCAGCATTTACAATAAAGAAGAATTGTATGATCAGGCCCTGCTGTTTATGCGTGTTGTTGGGTGAAATGACAGCTAATTTAACAGCGAAAATGGAAAATAAAATGGTTTTAAATATCTGTAATAAATGACATTTACACCCACTGATGTCACTGTGTTTGTGTGTGCTTCCTGAAAGCCGTAGTGGAGTTGCTCATTTCAAAAGTGTGTGCGCAAATTGAACGTAAGATGAGCTGTTTTTGTGACCAGTTGGGACTTCTGTGAAGCCCGTGAATAGAGAAGTGAGTAAATGATGCGGCTGTAAACAATACTGCTCTAAGCCCGTGTGAGGAGGAAGTATCACCACATTCACAGGTAGATCGACAACTGGTAGCCACAGAGTGAAATACACAGAAGGGTCATCATGTCTATAGATGGGACTAAGTTATTGTTTGAGGGCTTCCTGCAGAAAAGAAAAGATACAATGGTAAGTTACACTCTCTCTTGGTATTTTATGTGAGTGTATGTTGACTAACTAAAGAAGTGACTTTTGGTTGCTATATAGTTTTGTTTTCTGTCTATAGAAAATAAGGTGGGTGACATATTGGTTCAGGCTTCAAAATACAACCTTGTTCTTCTACACACAGAAGAATGGCAGTGCTGTAAGTAAACATTTGTTGTGGTGTACAGTTGTTTAATAATCAATTGAAAGATGGTTATGGTACTAAATGGATATAATTGACAAAGCTAGTTACCTTTTTAAAGCTCTCAATGACTGAAAGGTTATGGTGTTGATTTGCTCTCTTCACAGTTACACTTGAGAGGCAATTACTACATTTACACAGTAAGTCCATTTATTACAGGCGGTATGAGAAATCACTTTGCAGTCGTAGAAAGACAAACTTTTACTCAATTACTACACTTAATTACATATTTAAAGTAACTGCTGGAGTAATTCTACTCCAACCCCCCACAGACTAAGACTGGTTTAAACTCTAACCTACAACGCACAAACTTTTTGCACTATTTATATTTTATTTCCACATGTACAGTTTAGTTTTAGTCAAGCTGCTCAAATATATGCACACCATTCCTACTTGAATATGCATAGTGTATATATTTATATATACTCATTTATAGTCTTATATTTCCTATTAGATTTTGTAATATTTTACTTTGTGATATATTGTTGTACCTCCACTTTTGTACTCTCTTTTACACTACATTGCCCTATGCTGCTGGGTCAATCTTGAATTCCTCCTAAGAGGGTTCAATAAAGGAACATCTTATCCATTATTATTATTTATTCCATTTAATGCTACTTTATATTTCTACTTACAAGTGCATCGCAGTGGAAAATTTTACTTTTTACTTCACATTTATTTGGCAGCTTTAGTTACTTTACAGCTATAGATTATTAATACAAAATACAACGAACAAATACACTGCATATTATTATAGATTAGGTTAGACAACAGTATATAACATAGATAAAATTAGCCCCACATTTACAAGTAATGTGTACTGCATGCATGCATCAATAATTATAATCCAATAATATACTAGAATATTATAAAATTGTATTATGGGTACTTTATATTATTAAGTACTTTAAGTATATTTAGATGTTTATACTGATGCACTTTGATATTTTGAATACGTGACATTCTCACTGAGGATTTGAGTACTTCCTCCATTACTGTTGCTTTGTCTCTAGTTAAGAGACATTAGATTAGACCCATAGTATCTACTAAAGACAGTTTCTATCTAAATCCACCTCCTGGGTCAGGTGCAGTCAGTGCGAGAAGTCCTGAAAGCTGACAGCAAGCGCTTTAAGTTTGAGATAATCATGACCAATGGAAAGAGAAAACTGTTGGTGAGTAACTGCTGTGGTCTAGACTGACTTTTTTTAAGTTTCAAACTGTGTCACCCGTGTCTCCAAACCACTATGCGTGTGTTTGTGTGCAGGCAGCAGATACAGCAGCACTCAGACAGCAGTGGGTAGGATACCTGTGGCAAGCCATGCATCTTTCTACCTCCAGGGCCTCAGAGTCCAGAAGCTCACAGTAAGTAAGGAGGGTACTTTCCTTTTCCTTACTGCCTGAACTTGAACTAAAATAATCCACGTTTGGTCAACTAGACTCCTGACGTGCATTTAGGACCATTTCTCTTCTCCTCAGCCTTGAAGTGCATGAGCATCGAGAGAGAGTAAACAGCAGTGCACCCACCTGCTCACAGACTAACAGTGTGATGGTGTCGCTGCCCGCTCGGCCCCTCTCTGCCCCTGCCCCTACAGGCCACATCCACCATGAGATCAGGAGCAATGCCTCCCCCTCCTACCGGTCCGAGGAGCTGACTATTGAGGAGAACACGTACCAAATCACACTCCCAGCCTGTAACTACCAGCATCACAGTGGTATACATTAATGTTAATTGCAAATGTATATTATTGAGTCTTTAATTGAGTTGTACTTTCAGCTACATGGTGCTAACTACTCTGTTTTTTTTTTAGGTGACAATCCCAGCATTCCTCATTGGTCCAGTGAGTTGACCAGTGGAGAGGGACAAGAGGGAGACTATGACGTTTTACCAGTTAGAAAAAGTATGATCTTAAATATACTTTTGTATTTGCCATCTGCCATAACACATAATGATTGTTAAATGTCCAAACTGGCCCCGTTGTTATGTCTCTGTAGCTATATGTGAGAGCAACGCTTCAACAGAGATGGAAGAGGAGGATGTGTATGACTTTCCTCTCTCTAACAGGAGGGCTGATGAACATCCGGGTGAGATTATATAGATTTTTTTTTTTTTTACATTTTAAAAACTTGGTTATACCAAAATAATAAAAACATTTTTTATCTGGTTGATGTTCTTTAGAATCCTTGTCAGACTCTACAGAGGACATTTATGATGTACCGAGCTCTCTTCTGAGGATCAAGGATGATCCCACGGATGATCCTACAGGTAAAGCCTGCTTCATGTTATTGTCACTTTTCACCTTGTCAACATTTGACATTTGCGGCTTACAAGACAGCCACAGACGCTTTATATATACAGTTCAACAGAATGATATAAGTAGCAAAAGCCACATTTCTTTCACCTGTATGTCTCGAGCTGTTTGTTTGTGATTGCAGAGGAGCACCTGGAGGACGGAGTCTATTGGAGGATATGAGGTCCAGTTTGAGCGTGAGGGACTGAAGGGTAGCAGCAGTCCCCTTCTGACTCACCAGTAAACAATTCTTTGAACAGAAGACTTGTGGTTTGAGTGAAACAGACAGTATTTATAAGTGTAATAATTGTATTGTTGTATTTGTGACGACATGCACAACCCACAACAAAGAGGTTTAACTATGGTATTTATTTTAGCTCCTTCTATACAAGACTGAGAACCACACAGACATTTCTAACTACAGAGGACAGGCTCCACAGAAATGTCTACACATATACACGTTGTGGGTCAGTCAAACTATGCTTCACAATATTAAAATTACTCATTTACATGTCACTTACTTCACAGTTAAAAGTATACACCACCAACATTGATATTGCTGTATTACACACTTTGGACTGGTTTGAATGGAAATGGTTTGAGCTTGGTTCTAAAACCCTTTCTGGGTTTAATAGAATATTAAAAAAACTGGTTACAGGCACAATAAAAAGGAAATAAAAATTAAGCATGCAAACATTTACTGTGTGCACTTTTATATAATCTATTTTTATTCTACAGTTACTTCTCAGTGGGTATTAATATTGCAGAACATTTAACAAATGCTTAGTAAATGTAATGAGTGACTGGTCACACAGTGCCCATTTTTCTTTTCTTTTTTCTCATGAAGTCTCGAGGCTGGTGAAGGCTGGGAAGATGTTTGTAAACAGAAAATGATACCCAAAAAATTACACTACATCTACAACACTGCATTCCCAGGGGATTAAACTGACATCTAATATCACTTGGTAGACATATGTACATACAGTAGCAGTATTTATTAGACAAAAATAATATAGTAGTGCAGGTACTGGATTGAAATGCAAGCAAAAACAAGGCCTATGTAACAAGCAATGCATAAAAGTGATTTGTGCATTCTCAATTATGTTTCTTCTCAAAAGACAAACAAGTGCAATCAAATATAATACAAAACA